TTATTATTATTTCTTGGAAATCGTAATTTACCATTATTCGTAATGATGGAAGATAATTTTTGCTAAATTTCCATAAATTTGATTTTATTTTAAGCTAACTAAAAATTTGATATTATTAAAGCTCTTTTTGTTATTTTTTTATTTGCTGATATTTATTTTATTGGATCACTTTAAGGGCAGCGTTTGTAAAAATTTCTTCACTTGTTTTTTTCTTTTTTCGAATTTTCATTGGAAATGATTTTTTTATTTGCAAATTACAGTCATTGATAAAAACTGTGCAATAATCTTTAATAAATTGAATGCAATCAAAAAATATGTTTAAGCATTAATGTATCATTTTACAGGTGATATAAGCTCTTTCATCTTTTCCTAAGCAGCACAATAAACACACGATATATTTGCTGTCATAAATTTATGAATAAAATTTGCGAAAATTTCGATTCTATAAGAAATAACTTCAAAATAATACGTACGCGTGGCATAATGTGATTATGTTAGAGTGAGTGATATTTCTCGTAGGATTATTTAGTGAAATATTACATAATAATATGTGAACTATTAATGTTATGTTGAAGCATACATTGAAAATATAAATAATATCGCAATGATTATTGCATTCGCTTATTTGTATGCCAAGCAATTTGCAGAACAAATAAACAATTATCACAAAATAGGAATTATTTAACACACAATATTCATAATATAATTACTACATGAATAAATGATCAATCAATCAATCAATTAATCAGCAAATGCATCGATAATCAAAATAACGACTTTATAAGCATATTTACTATCACCACCACAAAATGGGACCGTTTTACAATTTTTCGTTTCTTCACTGCCATCCTATTAGACTATGAAAATGCACAATTTCTCTTCCTTTTCAATGATAAATTTTTTAAATTTGAAATAAAAAATGCATATTGAAATAACACTGTTTCTTTCTTTTCCTTTCTTTTCGCTCATCTAAAATTATCAGTTTAATTTTCCGAACTAATTCAACGCTCTCTTTTGTCCATCAGTGAACCGAACGATCATTTTGACCATTCGTTTTAGTACAAATCCCTCAACAACTGTTCATCGCCAGCTGTGGAATTTTGTTTGTTCATTTTATTAAATTTCATTTCTGCATCATTCGACTGAGAGGAAGGGAAATTATCGGTGTATTCTTTGATCATCCCCTCAATTGATCCTTTCCTTTCAATTATTTAAACATTTTACACCGATCCCATTCATTCATCTCAATTCCATTCCTGTCTTTTTCATTTTTTGCATATTTGATTGCTACTAAACAATCATGTTAAAATTTATTTGGTTTAAAAAAATTTTACTCTTTATCAGTATTGATAATACTGATATATCATCCTTGGTATTAGTAATACCGTACAATTCAGTTAATTTGTTGGTCGAATTGAAATTTTATACTTCATTATCATTATCATTATCATGAACATTATGTAATTATTATCATATTGCTATTCTTGCTACTATTTGAATAAAATCATCATTTCCATCATGATAATCATTTTCGTCCAAAATCATTACTAATCACTGTTATCACTACTCTTCTCACTACTGCTAACAATCAAAGTTATCTCTTTAAAATGAACAAAATTTCACAAATTTGAACACAACAGGAAACGAAAGAGAGGCAATTCGCAAATGTTTTTGCGTTTTTCGCAGAACCAATCATTTGTTTGATTTTGTTCTGAGAAAGGAGGAAAATGCGTATTTTATTTTCCTAAAAATAAAAATAAACTTATCAATTCGCATGCTATACCATATCTTTGACCTTATAAGTAACTGATAAAGAATGATAATATGATAATTTGAAGAAAAATAGTTGACTGTTAATTAGATGGGAGATAATGAGCAGAAATTCGTTAGCCCATTCTTCAGTTTCACTGCGTAAAAATAAAAATGAATGAATTAATTAATCGTCCTTTTGCTGAAAATAACGCGATTTACCTGTAATATTTTATATTTATCAGCGGTTGAACATGAAAATAAACAAACTATTTTATTTACTTTCTCCCATTTTCATTCTCATTAATTTCCTTCACTTTTCTCTGTACCTCTTCCATCGCTCAATTTTTCACAAAATAATTTCCAGTGTTATATTAAATTGATCGTTCAGAGACTTTTGGACTTCTTGGAAATATTTACAGAATTTTGGTTTAAAATTTTAACGGGATTATAAGAAAGAGATATGAAAAAGATCTCATAGATATATCAGTACCGGTGAAGACTTTCTCTTTTCTTTTTTATCTTTCTGGAAAAATTATTCATTTCGCTAACTGAAAGTTAAATAATTATATTTTTAGTATTGAAAGAATCACATGTGAACTTGTAATTTTATATGTTTCAGTTTCATTCAGTGTTACTTCTAGCTAAATTAGCATGTAACTTTGAAATCTTTTGCATAAAGAAATACTTTATGTTTATATCTGATTGTTGTATTTAAATTAGTATTTACATATTTATGTTCACATTTATTTATTATGCTTCTTAATTCATATTCACATATATTTCATATTTACGTGTTTTAATTGCTTGACTTACTCCTTTTATAGAGCAGCTGTGGTAGTAGCCGAATAAATATGGCATTTTTATAGAATATTGTTAAATTAATTAGCTTCATTTTTAATTAGCGGAATGTTACTTTAGATTATAGCTAATCTCGTAATAATGTTGCATTACGAACAAGCATAGCATCATTCGTTATGTCGTTACAAGGTACCACTGGACAGCGGGCATTCGCTTTAAAACGAAACAAGTAAGAAGTTTATTTCATTTCTTACTATAAGTTTTAGTAGGATTTCAAAAAATTGACTGAAATTTTTGAAACGATTATGTTTGCTTCAAAAAAGAAGTTCAATTTGAGTTTTTTTTCTACTAATTTTAAAATATTTACTATCCTTGTTTTTCTTAAAATGGAAATATTTTCCCAAAAATATCAATTTTCAGTTTGATGTTTTTATTATTTGTAGAATGACTGCAGCTGATGTACGTCGACATATTATGACAGGAAGTTTGTTATTGCATCCACAAAATGCTACGCAAATGGATATGACAGATAGTAGTCCTCAAGCTGTTAGTTTTCACTGTATCATTTAGTAAAACATTGCTCAACGATATTATCATCTTTAAAAGTTGTGGTTTTTTGCTTAAGATTCTTCCCAGGATTATAAGTACTGGAGATTTTGAGTTATAAATTGATATGTCCGTAAAAAGAATTTTTGTTCCATCAAAAAATTTTAGAAGTTAAAATAAGGAATTTATTGAAAGTCATTTATTATTGGGAAAATTATACAAAGATTTGTGCTAATATGTTAGATATTCATTGCGAGTTACTAATTATAACAAAATTTCTAATTTATCACGAAAGAATGTAAACATAAAAGTAAGTGTGAATAGTACTGAGTAGATTTGTTTTTAAAGTTGTTTCTTCGTCGTTGTCTCTAGGAATGTTTTTGATAAGCATTTGTTTTTTACTTTCCTCATTCAAATGAAATCTATTGATGAGTAAATTTTAGATAACAATGATTACACGACAATAAATATTTAAACTAAAACTCGAGCAGCAGTCAGTTTCATTTCTATGAGATCTGCTTGAAATTTGATCGAAGCAGAATTTTTTTTTCATTTTCAGATTAATTTAATTGAGATAGTTGAACCGCTGGATGTGGAAGATATCTTATCGCAGCGAAAAAGCAACTCTTCCATACATGAACATATTGCAAGTAACAGTAATTTAAGAAGGTTTGTGTTTAACAATTTTTTACATATGTTTACAAAAATGTCTTCAAATTTAAGAGTGTATTTCGTAGCAAATACCTAGACTGTATTTCGGAGTATCTGATCGTCTGCTTCTTTGCATTATATCTTTCAGGATGGCAGAATTCCCGGCTGATGATATCGAAGTACGTTTGGTACATCGGGATCAGCTTACAGTCGAGTCACCCTTTCCGTCAAATCTTTCAGGGTTTGCTAATTTTTTTTCTAAAGAAAGAGTGAAATCGGAAATTGAAAATTTTCAAAACTGTGAATTTTAGCAGACATTTGATTCAATTATTGCTTGTAACTATTTATTTACCAATATCACTAATCCAGTTCATTTATTATTTCCAATTTGATATCACTATAAATTGCATTGGAGTCACCCGTTCGGTGAAATGAGAGCTGCTAGTTTGGATTTTGTTTTTTTCACTGTTAAATAACTTTTTCAGTGTCGATCCACTGGTAAAAGATATAATGCAAACATACAACGATAATTTCTCGTTAGTGCAGCGAAAGTATTTTCAATATTCAAGCGGTGAAGCATACATTCGATTACTGATGGAACGACCAATTATTGCTCAAACGACCCCGAAACAAATTTTTGAAGTGGATTCAGACCGACCTATCGGACGAAGTGTTAGCATAGCGGGCGAGGATCAGGTAAAAAGTCTTCATAAACTATAAATATTGTCTAAGTCTTGTTGATCGTAATTTTACACCTTAAACTGTTTAATCTAAGATTATATACAGGATACCGCTTGCTAGAAGCATTTTGAGAAAAAATAGCTAGGTGTAATATGAAAGAAGCGATTTTTTAATTAAATTATTGTAAAATTCAAAGTATTTTCAAACTTGGAGCAGAGTGGTAATATCGTTTGCTGCAAATGATACTTATTAGATTAAATAGAGATTTGCTGTATTTATTTAAATGTCAATTCGCTCAACTAAGCATCATTTTACAGCAAATACCGCTGTTGCTCTACTGTAGATATTTTAACAATGCTCAATATTTCTATGATCAGCGTAATGTCACTTTTAATACAGTTTCTGAAGATCCTAAAAATTTTTAAAAATTTTTTAAATTCTCATGAAATGATTAGTAATGTTGAAAGTAATGTCTTTGCGTCTTGAAAGTGCCTGTATGCTAAAAATAGTTTTTTAGAAGGTGTTGCAAATTTTTAAGAATAGAGACTGACTAGAAATTTTTTTCTTTTTACAAGAACTTATTATTTGTTTACTGAAATTTAAAGGATGCACGATGTGAAATATCTTTTATTCTTTCAAACATCTATCTCTAATCAGATCTCTATCTCTAATCAAATGGACTGCAACATAGTGGAATGATTGTTCTAAAAAAAAGTTAACAAATGTAAAATTTCATTTCCAAGTATTTGCTAAGTTATTCATTTATTTATTTAGACTACTAAATGTTAGGTTACAAAGTTAGTCATACATTTTACTTGTTAAAGTATGAGGACAATTGAGCTTTAATGCGTCAGTACGCACATTCTATACTTCTGATGATTTGATCTGAAATAATATGAAGTCATCTATTTTGATATAGAAACTTTTTTTTCATATTTTGAGTGATATAATTTGAAATTGATAATAATAGATCACAAAACGGGACTCATTCGGCTCACACTATTCATCAGACTCGATGTGTACTGTTGGTTCGTCATCCGGTGGAACAAATCGTGATGATACCTTACGTGCACCTCACCAGCTTCATTCTTCGGCTAGTGATCCCACAGTGCCAGGTTTATGGGTTAAATTTAATGAAAAAAAAAATCATTAATGGAAGATTAAATTCACTGTGATAGTTAAACGTCTAGTTAGAAATTTTTGGTCACAATGCATGTAATTGAAATTAACGGTATCTTTGCAGGTGTAGTGCAGCGTATTTCAAATACACAACTTGATCAGATCAATGAGGCCCGAAGGCGAGCCCATCGACAAAATGCATTAATTAACTTACTTCCGTCTCAGCTCGAAGTTTGTATTACGCAACTAAATTTTTTATTTTAGTTCTTAAAGTGTATTACTTTTCTGATAGAAAGCCTAGTGCGTCCAAAAATATAAAGGCATGCTAGACTTTTATCCTAAAATATGTAATAAACTATGTAAAGAATAAGATATTCGAAGCCAAGAATTCCATGATTTATAGCGCATAATTGTTTAGGCTGATGTAATTGAACGTCGAAGTGCAGCGCCATTCCCAGTTGAGCATACGGGTCAGAAACTTTTCATTAAAGTCTTGCAGGTTAGTAGTTGAACTTTCGGAATTTCAATTTTTTTAAAATTCCCTTAATTGGTTGTTGTAAAAAATTTTTGCTATTTCTCACATATTTGCATGTCTACTTGATAGTTACTGGAATAGATTTTCGATAAAAATTAAGAGATATAGTCTTCGCAGGAATTTTTTGTGATGCTTTTAAATAATTTTGAATTTTCAGTTGCAGCTTGAACCTTCATTTGAACCCGTTTTTGGTACCATAGTACTTTATGATTTGAAAGAAAGACGAAAGGTAAGCATTCAGCAATTCAAATAAACTAATTTTTAAGTTTAAATGATTATTTTTTGTTAATCAAAATTTTTAGCTATGCTTCATCTTGCCATTGGAACGAAATTCGACCCTAGGATCACTCATTTTAATTATTGCTATCTAAGATTACTGAGGACTGGTAGATATCAAGAACTACTATTGAAGATTGAATGACTATGAATTTTCAGATATCAGAGAACTTTTATTTTGATTTAAATAATGATTCGCTGCGTGCAATGATTTCGCAACACGCTGATTGTATAGATGAGGCGAGCAAATGTACACAAGCGGTTTTCAGCATAAGTCAACCACTGAATGATATATTTATTGTCATCAAGGTAGGCAAAAGCAAAATATCGATGAAATGCTACATTTAACTTTTTCGTTAAATTTTCAGTTAGAAAAAGTGTTGCAACCATGCGAAGTAGCAGATGCGTGTGAACCGTATCTGAAAGAAGATAAAAACAGGGAACGGTTAATGCAAACGGCACAGCAATATTGTGAACGGCTTGGTGCTTTTCGGATGCCACTTGGATGGTTTGCCATCGACTTGAATCAAATCCTTAATGGGTCATATTATCCTGAGAAGGCGGAAGCATTAATGGCTACGATTCCAAGCTCTGTTGCTGGTGTTTTTTTACACTCTCTTCCTGAATTATGAAATCTCTTTAATATAGTTATTTTGAGAGTAGAATAATTTGAAGGCTTTGCGGTTATGCATTATCCAAAAAATTATTATTTTTCTCGAGTCCAGTTTTTTCAGCAAACTGGAATTGTTGAAGCTGATAAAACGAAATTTCCTTAATTTTTAAGGTAATTTTATTTGAATTTTTAGTTTTATTAATTATGGATGTTTGAAATTGTTGCATTTGTAGTGCAGGACGTAACACCAGCTTCACCAACATTCTTCGATGTAGAAAGTATTATAAGTATGGGTGAGTTAGTTTTATCTTTGAATGATTTCAGACTCTGGACTATTAATTAATTTTGTAGATGTTATTAGGATGTGATAATTTTCTAAGCTAAATATTTTATACTCTAATCAGATTTTTGATATAATTCTAAATCAGCTTAAAATTTGTTCCATGATTTCAATTTTGACTGAAATTATGCATTGAAAGAGGAACTTTCAGATCGAATATCGAATTCAACATCGGGAACTTTTCGCCGTGTGGGTAGTGGAACTTCTTCCGGTGCAGCTTATGTGGGGGCGCAGCAATCCCAAAAAAATCGAACACCGTTGCAAAAGCGTAAACTTTTCGCGGGACTTCATTTGACTATCTCGCAAAATGAAACAGCTGCGGTGGGATTGGGTCTCGAGACTGACTCATTGCTGAAAGATAGTGGATCTCCATTGACTTCCTTAAGTAATCTACAACCTCTGCTGCTCAATCTTAATTCGTTCTTTAGACAGGTAATATTAAAAAATTCAATGTCTAAATTCTGTATGATATAAGCTAAATAGTTTTAAAATTTTTGGAGGAATAGATTTTATGATAGTAATTATATGAACATTGCTGACTGTCACTAACAGTAGTGATCAAGTATTATCAAAACTACGGTACTGTTATGATGTCGGATTTCTTAGTCCAATTGTCATTAAGATTATCATTATGTTGGGAACTTTAGTATGCCTTTAGATGAAATTTTATTTTGCTTGCTTATATGAAATTTATATTTCTTTTGGTTTGGATTTCATTATTTTTTACTTTTTGATGACCATTGACAGGAAGCAGAACGTTTGACCGATGAAGACCTCTGCAAAATGCTTGCGGATTGTCGAAAAGGTGGTTCCAAATTAGCTAAATTGAAAACATTTCCAATTGCATTCAAAATGGAATTATCAGGTGGATGTGGCGAATCTTTAATGAGGTATCAGTTTTGCTGCAAATTTTATATTCTCTATTTTCGTTTCGCAGTCAGTTCATTTTTCAACTTTTCTTTTTGAAGCATGTTGCGAAATAGAGTTCTTTAAGAGACAAAATCAAAAATTATCTCTCTTTGGACGACTGAGTTTCTGGGAACCAGGTAGAATTTGCATTTCATGTTTTGGGTGTTTCTTAGATTATTCTTTTATACATATAATTAGCCAAGTGATTTTATGCATTTTGTAAGATTTCATCTGTTTTCCGGCTTACACCTGAACTTCTTCGTGTGCATCCATTCGTTTCTAATAATCCAGCGGATATCGTCAAGGAAATTCTAGAGTTCCCGAGCAAAGGGATTTATGCTGTGAATGCTATCTATAGGTAAGCTATCAAATTCGCTAATGTGTCATTTTTTTAATCAAAAAATGGCACACTCATATCATTTTTTTCTCATTTTCTTCTTGATAAAATGATATTTTAGGAATCTTCTCTACATATACCCTCATTCAGTAAACTTATCCAGTCGTTCTGGTCCATCACGTAACATTGCTATTCGTGTGGAATTGATGAATGCTCAAGAAAAACCAGTTTATGCTATATTTGGCAAATCCAGTGGCCCAAACATTACTTTTTTTGCTGATACTGCAGTTTCATATCACAACAAGTAACTGTTGAAATATATTTTGAGCAAATTGCAAATAAAATTATATTTAACAAACAGAACAAGTAAACTGGTATACGGAATATAAATGTTTGTAGAATGATTGCACTCAACTTTTGTTGTCTTTATTAAGTCACGTGAGATTAGGCAAGTGTGGTGTAACTTAGAAAATTTAAAATGTGACTAGTTTATCGAAAATTAAAAATAAAATTGGTTATGCAGGACATGTTGCGTTACTTTCTTATTATTCCATCATTCATTTTCGATAGTTGTATGACGTTTAGGGAACAGTTTAGCGAATGATTGTAGTGGTTAGGTAATGACATTCAGATAAAATATGATGACATAGTGTTTTGTGGTAATAATAATGCGAACAGTTATTTCCGAATTTTATAATAGAATTTTTTATTTTAAAGTAAAAAAAATCTTTAAAGTTTTGGTTTCAGAACACCTAGTTTCTATGATGAAATAAAAATCAATTTACCGGTTGACTTAAACGATGGGCATCATATACTGTTCACTTTTTTCCACATTACTTGTAAGCCAAATAAAGTTGGCGATGAAGTAAAAATACCCATAGGGTATTCATGGGTTCCGTTGCTGAAAGGTGGACGATTGCAAACTGGTGAATTTACTTTACCCATTGCATTAGAACAATTACCACAAAGTTATGGATATCTCTCACCGGATGTCAACTTACCGAATATTAGATGGTTAGAAGGACACAAACCACTTTTTGATGTCAAACTCGAAGCTGTTACAACAGTTCACACACAGGTAGAATGCGCTTATTCCAGTATTTTAACATTTTTTCGTAGATATGTCTTTTAAGCCGTTTATTTTGTCAGGTAGTCAGTTCACCCAGAGAATTGGTTAGATTACTCTTTCTTCTATGAAGAAGAATGTAAACTCAATTTTGAGATTATTACGATGTATTATTTTTAGGATTCTCATTTGGACAAATTTCTACTTGCGTATCAGTCATTAAGTGTTAATGATAAAAAGAATCCACCAGTATCAGAAGCTGATTTAAAGCATGCAATACGAAGTGTCATAAAAGCTCGTCCTGAACCAATGGTTGCTTTTTTGTATGTTATACTGGATAAGCTGTTGGCATTAATTGCAAATCCTCCATATACAGGTTTGTTTCACTACTTTCAATTATGCATTTCTGAGATGAATATAGGTGGGGACCAATTAAACTGGTTTCTACATTAACATGTCTTTTGAACTGTGACCTTTATGTTTTAATACTTGGTAAAATTACATGAAGTTTTAACCCTCCTATTCCTGGATAGTAACGTACAACTATTCTATGGCACCAGAGGAATTTTCAATTTAGATTGAGTAATTCAATGGTTTCAGATGTTTTAATTCATTTTAAATGTTGTCCATCTTTTACAGTATCTGTGTCAGCCGTATGCTTTGAAGTACTCGGACAACTTGTCAAAATATGTACCGTTCTTTTGAATAGCTTTCGCGATGCCCATGGTCGTAGTTCACTCCTCACGACTTATATACATTATCATAAAATTTCTCTTAAAGGTTTGTTATAGATTGTATCTAATTTTGTTTGTTAAGCAGCAGCATTACTTAACAATAATATTATGTACTACAAATTAAAGAATCAATGATATTTATGTAATGAAATCCCGAAGATTTTCCTAGATTTAGAAACTTCGATCGTACAACCAAACAATGGGAAGACGGAGTTGAAATCAGAGGGTACTTTACGAATGCCTACTTCACCCGAAAGTAAACATCTGCTTGATATTATCAGTAAGTGGAGCTCAATTTTGGAATTTATTTGCAAACATGTCTGAAATAGTATTTTTTTATTAGAAAATATTTGCATATGAATTTTTGAAATTAAATTTTAATAATTTACTCAATATATTCGATACTTTTGCATGACATCAGACTTTTACTAAACGACTCGTTTTTTTCATTATGTTATGGTTTACTGAAAAGGATGATAAGATATTATTTCAATGTTTTTTTAAAGAAGAATTTGAGCGTACAAATTACATGAAAGCATCTACCGAAGGTGACTGTGAACTGAACACATCAAAAAAGGTATGCAGTGTATTTCTAACTAGCATTCATAAATCTTTTAATATTGCAATATCTTTTTGAAACTTTGTTATTTCTAGTTTTGATGTTAGAATTTAGCTTCGCTGAAGCGAGCGAAAACTCCGAATTATTCTTAGATAATTAAAATTAGCAAGTATCAACTTCCTGAATTAATATAAGTTTTAACAGAAGCAGTAAAATAATTATCAAAGAAAGACCCAATTAACCGGAATGAATTATATTGGAATTGCAGTTATAACTGAATTGGTAATCGGATGATTGGTTCCAGTTTAATTCTTTTCGTCGAAATTTCAAATTATTCTGCAAAATTTTTAATAATTTTTAGGATTTATTTTGTACATATCGAATTTTTGTAGGTGATGCATGAAGAATTAGCATTGCAATGGGTAATCAGTGGTGGTGCAGCTCGAGAAATGGCTTTCCTTAATTCGTGGTTTTTCCTTGAGCTCATGGTATGTTTCCTTATAACAAGCTTATTAAGTTTTTTGTTTATGTAGTATTTATGTACAACTTATAAGATTAAATATATGCAATATTTTTTCTTTGTTCTTCACTCATAATGTATTTTGTAGGTTAAATCAATGGCGGAATATTTATCTCTTTCAAATCGTTTGTATTTGCCACGAAAGCTTCGATTTAGAGAAGCCTTTATTCAAGATCTGAATGCGCTTTCTCAGGCTATCATTAGTGAGGTAATCCAAAGAACTTCGAAAGATCCAAGACAGGTAATTCAATAGCATTTAATTGTTCACGCGACAAATTTTTCCTTATTAAAAAAAGGGATCGTAGTAAATTGTAAGACGCATTCAAGTGTAGTATAATAACGATGGTAGCAAAAAGAAGGAAAAATATATATTTGTTATCATTGTATTGGAAATGATTAAATTTGTACTTTAGTCTCAATCAATCAGTACTTCGTGGGCCTATTTCTTGCGTGATTGCTTCTCATTGATGGATCGAACCTTTGTAATAACACTGATCCGAGAGTTTAACCGCGAAATTGCCGCTAAAATAGGGTAATGTTTGTTAAATTCTTTTTCCAGTAACTAAATTTATTTTCTGAATTATTGGCTTTCAAAATAATTGTTCATCCAGAAAGTCCATTTTAAGACTTTTACAAGTGCATGTTAACTTCCTCATCCAAGGTAATTTTGTAAGTAATAAACGCGCTATATTAAATATCTAGCTCAATTGAATCGTGTTAAGGATCTTATTTTGCATAATCATGATAGCTAAATTTTGTGTTGGAGAATTGATGGATATTACTTCGTCATCACCTTTTTCTTTAAGAAACTGCACCGAATTGTGTGTAATGCCCACTCTCATGCTAATTAAACTGGACTTTTTGCGAATCATTGCTTCTCATGAGCATTTCGTTGTGTTGAATTTGCCATTTGGTTCTGGTAACATGCAGGGTATGTCAACAAGTCATTCCGGTGGATCATTTCATGTGAGTTATAGATTTTTTACGGTTTATAATACTTATTTTTATCTTGTTCTCTCGATCATTTCGAATTTCAGTCAGCAACATCAGCATTTTCGTCCAGTTCGGAGGGTAGTGCTAATTTATCTGTATCTTTGCATCATTCTTCCTCACGCCAATCTTCTAGCCCAGGAAATTCAAGTATCAGCAGCAGGTTTGATTTGATATCTTGAAGTCAAAAGTTTTGAATTCCGGGAACCTATCTTCTGGCAAATTTCCAAAGTTACCATTTGTCCTTTTTTTGTATTTTGTACAGAGCCAGTTAATTTACTTAGTTTATACCTTTTCAGATCTTCAAGCCAGGTAAATGAATTACATGGTGCAATTGGTTCAGCAGAACTAACTATTGAGTTTCGTTCGCGACATTTTCTAATTGGGCTTGCTCTCGCTGACCTGGCTTCTGTTCTTGAAACATCAAATACTCTGCTCCATTCACGGTTAGTTTATGTTTCAGGTTGTGAGTCTCGTCATAATTTCGATTGTCTTTAAGAAAGAAACGTATAAATTATACCTATCACATTTCTTTTTTAATTTGTAAAGATTGTAGTACTGTTCACTTGCACTATCTTAGTTTTGTGAGAACAAACGATAATTTTCAAGATTATTTGCAGTGCTATAAGTCTTATTCGTAATTTGCTGAGCAGCCATGAATTGGATGTTCGACTTCTTGATAACACGGTGAAAGCACGAGTAGCATCCTTGTATTTACCAATCATCGGTATTGTTCTGGACGCCTCAGCTCAACTCCACGATCCCTACTCGAAATCTTCCAGTGTTAATTATGAGAATTCCACATCTGTTTCTAATGGGCAAGCTTTCCATTTTGCAATAATCTTTCTCTTTTCAAATTCGAAGATTTTTTTTTTCTTAATCATTCTTAAACTACAGTTACACAACGGAAACAAATGACGGACCGTTTATTAGCGACAAAGTTATGCTTGCAATTGGTGGAATGAATTTTTCACCACCTTGCTCACCGCGAACCGAACGAAAACATATTGGTTTAGTTCGGCCATCACTTTCATTGGAAAATACACGTCAGGTGATAGCTTTCATAAAACATATGTAGTCACCATGAAGTTTTGTATAGGACGAATAAAGTGAATTTTTTTAATTTTCCAATTTCCAGATTTTATTGTTTCCTCAAATCTCATTCAGCTATTAGCCTGCTTTTGTTGGACGTTGAAAAATATGGAGCGATCGTCTTTGCGTCAGTGGATTCGCGATTTATCGTCCAACCGAATTTTGCAATTTCTCGATGTTCTACAGCTTGCTGTTTCATGCTTTGAATTCAGATCATCTCTTTTTTGTTCTAATCAAGTACTGGTTGCTTTTTTTCAAAACAGTTCTTACATTAAGAACTGAAAATTCTTGTATATTTACTTTTCTGGCAAGTTGTATGACATGATGGCACTATTTTTGAGAATTTGCAGGATTCCAGTGAGACTGCAGGGGAAGTAAAGGACGAGAGTGGTAATATTGAAGGCTCATCGATTAAAGAGCTTGGACAGAAAAAAATACGTAGTGTGCCCGATTCTGAAAATGGTGTTCGATGGCGTAAAGAAATCAAAGATTCACAAGGAAAAGGTTCTTGGAAAAGTTGCACTGGTAGTAGCGGTGGACAATCAAACGATGAACCTATTCGTAAGTTATGAATCGGCAATCAATAAAATACTTCATGTTAATAGTTGCAATATACACAAATACATCAAAGTTAATTGGAAATTATGAAATGATGAGGAATCATTGAAATATAAGAGAATTCGAAAGCTATTTATTTTCCAGAATTAATTCATTTAATTTAGCAAATGATGAAGATGTTACACTTGAAGCGACTCTTTGCACCGAAATACCATTAATAGTGCTGGATACGTTAGAACTCGTCATACGCGTAGTATCAGTTCTTGGTTCTGACTATCTCTTTTATGTGTTACCTTCTGTATTAAAAGTGTTGGTGAGTTTATTATCATTGATTTTTGTAGTTCTGAATTATTTTTTGCGCTTTTTAAATTCAGAAATATCTTGTTTTACTAGAACATCCGTCAAAATCACATTTTTTATATTCTTATACACTGCAAATGCATTGCTGACATTACAAATTTCTTGTCTTAATATGCAAAGCGATAAATAAAGTTAATGCCAGAATTGTTACAACTTTATTGAAATAAATGAAAAATGGATAAACATAATATAAGCAAAAAGGCTATACTAACAGTTTAGTATAATCTTTAAAATTTAAAGAAATTTGCAATGCCAGCAATGCATTTGCAGTGTATAAGAAAAAAAGTTTCATCTTTAAATTAATTTCTCCAATGAATTTTTTAAAGATGCATATTCTTGCTTGCAATCAGTCAGTACAAACTTTGGAAAATGTTTTTGCAAGTCAACGTGCAATAGTTACGAAGTATCCAGACTTGCTGTTTGAACAGGTTAATAACATGTTTCAAATACATTAATTGTCAGTGCAGAAGTGCAGATTTTGTGCACACTTAATTTGTAACTCGAGTTGTTATTTGGCTTTTTCGAGTACATCTTTCCGAGATGCAGCTCTTGTTTTGCACTTCTATTGGACCGTTCCTTTGTGCACATACATCTTTCGTATAGGCCTTAAGAATTACTGTGATAAATAACTGAAGATGAATTTTTTATAGGAAACTGAACAATGTGGTGAATTATGCCTTCATCTACTAAGACACTGTGCGTCCCGCTTGCCAGCTATTCGTTCGCAGGTATTATTAAAACCATTGAAGTTTTAAAAAAGTATCAAGTGTTTAAATTTAGTTCAGTTTGACTTTGAAGTTGACGTTTTTGATGATAATGACTTAGGAAAATTAATGAAGTAATGATAGATTACAAGTGCAATGTTTTTAATTAAAATAATTTCGAAGATAAAAATATATTATCTTATATATAGAAAAGGCAGTAGATTACTTTCCAAATGAAAGAGATTAAATCATGTGAAAAAAATCTAGAATATTTTTGCAACCTTTAACATTTCGTAGCAAGCAAATAAATTGTGGGCGAGAGTGATCCGAATGAAATCTTAATGGAAGTACAGAAAATAATCTCTTCCTTTTCTTGTTGACAAAAGTGTCATAGTATAAAACTGAATTTATTGAAAAGAATTATAGGCTGCAGCTTCATTATATCTATTAATGAGGCAGAGCTTCGAGTCTGGAGCAAGTTTTTCAAAAGTTAAAATGCAAATTACAATGTCACTGAGTACGTTGGTTTCTACGGGTACCAAGCATGGTGACTGGATAAACGAAGATTGTTTGCGTCATAGTTTAAAAACTGTGCTGACATACTCGGAAACAGATGCTTCAATTGATTCACAGCTACGCAGTACTACTTTTTCAGAGCAGGTTAATATGAAGTGTCTTTTTTTAGATTAAGTTTTTAAAGTTTTTTTGGCAATTTAGGCTTCTCAAATTAATAAAACATGGTGTAAAACTGCAGGTAAAAGATCTCGTTTTCAATTTGCATATGATATTATCGGATACAGTGAAAATGAAAGAATACACTAATGATTTTGAAATGCTAATAGACCTCATGTATCGTGTTGCGAAAGGATATCAGAATAATCCAGATCTTAGGTTAGCATCATTTTTCAGTGTTTATTAATTACATTTTATCGGGATTAATTCACAAAAACTGATTATTCTGGATGTCTTCTTTTTCGGCATGACCTTGATGGTGAATGAAAGGACATGCCAATCTTCAAAATATTTCATTCATTTTTTGACTCAAGTGAAACCAAATTATGCTGCTAAAATGCTGCGATACTTTCTTTCCATTTATTATTGATTACTATATAAATTTTTCACTTTCTTTACGTTCTTTGAAATTGTGTTTTGTTTTGAAACTTGAAATGCACAATAACAGATGTTAAAAATGCGATAGTTTAGGTTAACATGGTTGATAAATATGGCAAATAAGCATTCAGCTCGGGATAACGCGGCGGAAGCTGCACAATGCATGTTACATGCAGCCGCTTTAGCTGCTGAATATATTTCGATGCGTGAGTATGATGTGCATATTCCTAAAGGTGCTGCCGCTTTTCAAGCTATAAGCGATAATATTCTCGAAGAAAGTGCTGTTTCGGATGATGTTATTAGGTATTACTTTGATCAGAAAATATTTTCTGTTTATATCTTATAGTTGCTGTGTCGTGGATTGTTAGAATTTTTTTGCTTTTACAACTTTTCAAAATTCATTTAATTGAATTTTAGTCCTGATGAAGAAGGTATTTGTGAGAGTCGTCATTTTACGCAAAATGGTTTAGTACATTTGGTAGAGAAAACAGCGCAGTTTATGGAGAAAGCTCAAATGTATGAATCAATGGTGCAACTGTACAAGGTTACTAGGCATTATTATAGTTGAAAATGAAATCAACTTTTTCTTTTTTAGAAATGGAATTCTAGCCATTTTACAAAATGTTAGAGTTTTATACAATTTCGATTGTTTGTTTATATCAGATAATAACACCAATTTTGGAAGAAAATCGTGATTATCAGCGTTTGGCACAAATACATGGTTGTCTGAGCCAAGCACTTTCACGTATTGAGCCAACTGTATCGTTAATTGAAGATATTGTCGATGCATGGTATTCTCCTTTACCAAGGTATATGTCAGAAAATTCAAAACTCATCCATAATTTTGCATTATGCGGGACCTTCTTTGCAGCTGGGTTTGATGATCTTTCAGCATATTTTTTTAAATTCAAACGATATTTATGAATAATTCACTAGATTTATAATCCGCAAATGTCCTTTGAGTGAAAAAAACTTGGAAGCAATATATTCTAATATTTTGGTTGCAATGCGAAGAGCGAAACTTTATTCTATATTGTCATCAAATTCTTTCAGTGCCGACAGACGTTGTTTCGGGACCTATTTTCGGGTAGGTTTTTATGGCAGCCGTTTTGGTGATTTGGACGGTGTCGAATTCATCTATAAAGAGCCGGCAATTACGAAATTGTCCGAAATCAGCCATCGTTTGGATTCATTTTACACTGATCGTTTTGGGAAAGGAGTTGTGGAAGTTATTAAAGATTCAAATTCTGTATGTTTGCTATCTTTTGACTAAATTTGAATGTTAACATGATTTGAATGTTGTAGTTATTTAACGAGTGAAATGAAGAAAGTTGCTTCAATTAATACTTGAAATCAATCTGCAGGTTGATCCAAATCGTTTGGATTCCACAAAAGCCTATTTGCAAATCACATATGTAGAACCGTATTTGGAGAATTGGGAACGACGTCGTCGTCCTACTCATTTCGAGAGGAATCATAAGTTATATCGATTTGTCTATGCAACACCATTTACGAAAGATGGTCGCGCACACGGTGACTTGAAGGATCAATATAAAAGACGAACTGTGCTAGCCACACAATATTGGTAACTTCAAATCAATTTTCAAATTCATGTCTTCAGTTTGAAATGTTGGAACACAATAGTTCTTATAAAATGCAAATTTCTTTATGCAAATTAAGAAGGCGTCTAATGTATGTTTATCGAAAGGAACTTCAGAAGAAACATCAACATTGAAATGTTTTGATGAATGACAACGTAGACATATAGAACTTACAATTATCTAGTCCACGAGAAGAGCTAGATAAATTTATTTTAATTTTTCATTTTTGTAAAAATTTTTCCTCCATAATGATCTGATTTTTTTTGCTATATTTTTTCGGTTATTTTTTCCAGTTTCCCATACGTAAAAACACGTCTTCGTGTGGTGAATCGTGAACAAAATATTTTAACTCCAATTGAAGTTGCAATTGAAGATGTCCAAAAACGAACCCGTGAATTAGCTGCTGCTACTGCGCAAGATCCACCAGATGCTAAAATACTTCAAATGGTACTACAAGGTTGCATTGGTACTACTGTTAACCAAGGTCCTATAGAAGTGAGTTCCAGCTTTATAAACGTCAAAATATTAATGGAGGTCAATAAGCATAATGGTCATAATAAGCTTCTTAGATTTTTAGATTCAAGATTTTTTTTAATGTTTTGTTATTTAAAGGATCATTTCTTTCTTATAATTTACCATTTTATAATGGTAATGTCCGCTTTTTTCTGGATTATGTTTCCATTATCATTTCAGTAATAATTTAATAAACGTTCTTTTTTGAAGGTTGCAAACGTATTTCTTACAAATATGGTTTTGGATGAAAGTGGAAAACCTATGGATAAATTCCAGAACAAGCTTCGTCTGTGTTTCAAAGATTTTTCGAAGAAATGTGCAGATGCTCTTCAGAAGAACAAGAAACTTATCCAAGCTGATCAGCAGGCTTATCAGGTTAAATTATCGAACTACTATTTTTGTTATGCGTTATTGAATTAGCATTTTTGGATTTCATTAATGAAAAAAATAATTTTTCTGTAGCAAAATTGAGAGTTATTTTGCAACAAGTTTTATTTTTTTAACCACTTTCATTTATGCTATAAAAAGTTATTTTCTGTTATCAGTTCGTCAAAAATAATCACTTATCATATAATCACACTTATTGTGCGTGAGATCTTCCTTTATGCTAGCCAGTAAGTAAGTTTTAGTTGGTTAATAGACACTTAGCATCGCTCTTTATTCGCCTATTCTATAATGAATTGTTCAAGTAGGATTTCATGGTGAAAATTTAATTTTTATGAAATTACAGAATGAACTACAGAAAAATTATATCGAATTTACGAAGCGAATGGCACCGATAGTTGGCATCCGTAAAAATAAATGCTCCGAGGCACATACTCTGAAAACCGTACATGCTGTTGCTGCCGCTGCTGAATTTGGACCGGTTACTGCGGTGTGATAGAGATGAAAAAACTTTCAGATCTTAAGTTATTTTGATTTTTTCATTTCGTTAATTTTCTTGCTAACCGGAAGAAGTAAATTACATAATTAGGAAATGATAAATTGCAGTGCCGGCTTTACATTTCTTCGGTTTCCTATACGTCCTTCTTTTATTCAATCCTTTGTGTTTGTCTTCGTCCGTTTTGATTTTGTTTGTAATTATAATAATGTCACAATGTCCCATCTATTTCTATTTTATTCAACTGTTACTGTTCTAATATCAAATGGAATATGCAGGTTGAATTTCATGTACAATTCTGAAATTTTTTGTATTCATTTTTAGGATCACAAATTTTTACATTTTTTGTTATTTAAATTTAGAATACTGCCTTTTACATTCTAACTTTACTGCTTTATGCTGAACTTTAGACCTAACATTATTTGCTGTCTCAACCTAGTTAAAAAATTTTTTCAAAAATTTGATTTTACAAAAACCCAATCTTTTTTTATAATTGAATCAACATTATTTTACATTTAAGTGAGGTATCAATCAATTTCTTATAAAATCTGAAAATCATAAGTTCTAGCTTCCTTTCTGTTTATTTATTCTACTTTGACTTTTATGCTTTCAATCTTTTCCATTACGACTTTTGTTTACTGCATTGTCGAACTGTGATGTATTAAAATTAATGTTTCATCAATATTTTGGCTTTATTTTTGCTGTTCCTATTGCTTAGTTTTCTCAATACCAAAACATTTCTTAGTAGCAATCATTATCGATTGCATTTTTTAAAGAATATTTGTATTTTTCCATCACAGATTAAGTTCATTTTAACTTATCAGGTTAGGGAGTGAAGTAGTGGAAAAATAATAACAATTGGAATTAAAATAACAATCATTTTAATGATTAACAAATACTTCTAAAGGAAAAAAAAAGCGTTGTATGCAATTCAGTATTAATAACATCTTTTTTTTTCGTTTCATGAAATCTTAGATGTAAAAGATGAAAAGATGTAAAATATGGAGGAAACTTATTACAACGTTCCTTGACAGGCTGTTCTTCATATATTTTTATCTATAATGCAGTGTCTATAATTTGTGCTTTATTTTTTGTGAATAGGATTATTATGCATAAATTTAATTTTAGAGGAACTTTCCAATCAAATGTGAAACATTTGTATCTTTGAAAGTCTGATATATTTTTCACTATTTTTGAAATAGTCTTCCAGTTTGGAATGATCATCATTTTTTTCTTTTTTTTTTTTAGAAAATCAAGCATGACTTTAAACATGAATGAAGATAATGTTAGAGTTTTTCAATGTTAGCATTCTATTTGTTGTTTAAGCCAGTGACAAAATGTTGCACCACAAATTCATTTATTGATATTTTAAAATTGAAATTGCTTTTAAGAGAAAAGAAATTGCAAACAAAGCATTGCCTAAAATATATTCATTATATGCTATTTATATTGTTATTCTGCTTTTTGTAGTAGAGAATTTGTTGGTTTCATTACAAAAATAAAGTTTAATCCAGTGAATCAGAACGGATGTGAAAAGTTGCGTGACGTAATGGAATTATAGAAAGCTATAATAATAATCGTTATCAATATTCTCAATGAATCTTGATTCTTCGTTACGATCTATACAGATATTGTTGAAAAATGATGCAGATATTGTTGAGAACAAGATTCTTGAGATCAACTTTCATGAAGCTTCGATACTGCAAATGAAAGAGAGATGGCAGTAATATTTCCAGTATGGAATATTTGTAAATACTTTTCTCTTTTAAACATTCCTTACATTTGTTTTCAAGCTGTTACTCTTGTTTACTTTGAAGTTTTGTGTGATTTTTCTCCCCTTTTTGTTAACAAAGTATATTTCAAATTCATCCTCTTTCACATTCCTCATATTTCTATTATCAGTCTGTCCTTTCATATTTCCCTCAACAAACAAAGAAATTTTTCCTCATTTTTCTATGCCATCCTAAGGTAGGCAAAACAAAAATGGTCAGTTACTCCAAAAAATTGTTATTTAATGGCTACATAAATCCGATTTTAAAGTTTTGCCGGTAATTATCATTTTAGCTCTGTAAAATTCAGCTTACTTATTATTCCTTTCATATATTAAAGACAATAGAGTCACAAAAGTTTCATTTTCATTTTTCATGATCTGCAATAACCTTATACTTCTTACTTAGAAATACATTTTATTTCGGGTGAACCAAATTTTTTGAAAAGCATAACCATCAGTCACGAGCTAAAAGATATAGTTCACATAGATCGGGATTACTCAGGATTCAGTGTAATTCTTCTGCCACTCTCGAATAACATTATTTGTGAAATATGATCGAATGAGAAATTGGCTTCACCGTGACAATTTAGTTAACCATTTTTTTAATATATTTAACAGTTAGGCCTTTGAAATTTGCTTGCATGAAGCAATGAATTGATGAAGTTAACCATCATTGGTTAATTTATCTCAAATACACTTATTATAAATCATATTGAATACATCCTCTATCAGGCCAAATTTACATAAAGCTTGAGCCATCCAATGTTTAATCCCTGTCTTTAAAAGAAATTAATTCCTGTCTTATAATTGTTTCGCGTCTAATGCTTGCTTTTGCAAATCGACGTTTATATCAAATGTTTATCATTTGCTGTGAATTTTGCACGTGAAGAAAGCAAGCACTTCTATATATGTTTCCTTACAAATCTGTTGGATTAATTAAAAAAAAAAAACTTTATCGTATGAAAAAAAAAAAGAAATTGCATGGTAGTTTGCAATTTAGCATGCTTTCGATAATGTGAAAAGATATTCTTAAAATATTTGAACTTTGCAAAATTTGACATTAAGCATCGATTTCTTATAATTGTTTCCATGCCGCTTTCTCTCAATTGAACAATCGAATACGGAATTAAGCTTATCAATCTTTTTTCCTCTCCCTCTCTTTCCCTCCCCCTCTCTTTTTTTCGCACTTTTTTTCTTTTGATAAATATTGAATTTGTGTGATTACAGGTCAAATAATATCGGATTTCATCCGATCTATAAATGTTACAAATTGAGAAATTCGGAAAACACACTTTTAATACGATATGTACATTTTTGATTAAATAAATGCCACAAACATCTTCCATTTGCTTTCATCAATTTTTGCTTCGGAAAATCCAGAAGAATGGAAATTATATGCCGTTCAATCAATATTGATTATTACTAATAATAAAATCTAACTACTATGACCTCATATGAATGACCTCATATAAAATGCTGCTAAACAATCATAACTTGAGGAATTTTGAATATGAAAAAAAAGGATGAAATTTTACAAAGTATCAGTCTAAATATTGTTTGGTAGCAATGAAAAAAAAAAACAACAAAACCTAAAACGTTGTTCGGAAAAGTTGATAATACTGAAAGGATCGTCCATCTTCCGGAAATAAATAGGAATAAATATGCAAAAGAAAATCATAACGAGGCGAAAAATCATTTTAATTAAATTTAACAAATAAGCAGAACAGTTCTTCAGATGATTGAATATGTGTGACAATTAATTTATGCAAATTCTTGATATTTACCGGATGATACGTGCATAGTAAATAAAATGAATGGTATCCGAATGAATTATGTCAAAGAAGTAAAAGAGATTTTCATTTTCATGGTGAGCTAACTGATTCGAACAACCTTACTTGTTTTGGTTTGACGTTTACTCTCAACAAATATTGGTGGTATTAAGTTTTAGCTTTTTTTTTTGAGTTAATTGGGAATGCTTTTCTTGGATGCTTAACAATATAAATTTTTTTCCTTTGCTAACACTCATTTCAATATATAGTATTAAAAAAAAAAAGTTTAGTTTGGTTTATTATACAAATTAACTTTCTCTCTGCTTCAATATTATTGGTTAGAAAAATGTTAAGTATTTCTCTGGTAAGAAAAATCATACGAAAATTTTCATCCATTTGATCATAAAGTTATAAAGTTATATCTTTTTATGGAAAATTATTTATGGAAAATGATTACGACGTAAATAGATCATTGTTTGGCACTTGTAACTTAACTACGTTTACGAGTTACTTTAACAGAATGATATGAGAATGATACGACATATAGGAAAACTGTAAATATCTGCTTTAACAGAGTGATATGAGAATGATACAACATATAGGAAAACTGTAAATGTCATTGATAACAAATGGTACAGCATACATATCATGAAACATTTTCTGTTTACGCTGAGGATTATTTCGAAATGTTTCATGCATAGTTCCAAAAATATACCAATAATATTTAAGTGAAATTATTGAACAAAATTGAAAAATGATTAATTTTTTAAATGTAGCCATTAACTTTAATTGTAACACTGAAGCAGTTAGCCATTCTTGATCATCCATGTTAATTCTATTGTATTTCAACTCATATTCGCAGTCAATTATAACATATCGTCTAAAATCTGAAAATGGGACAGTTTATTACGATTCCCCGGAACATTATGAAGTATACACTGACAATAGCAGTGTAATTCATATCGAGCGCTCGATATCTTCTTATCAACTCTATAATTTTAATTTTTGATCACTACAAAATTGTACTTGAATAACAAAATGCATTATGAGAAATGTAGATATTAATATGCATTCAATTAACATCATTTTATTGCTATCAATATGAATAATATTACTGATAGTTTGATATCGAAAGTAACAACGAGAAATCGATCAATTATTAGTACTACAGTTTAATGTAATTTCATTTCATCATTTAATGATTATTTGATGTTAGTTGGGAAAATTTTTATTGAATTTTTGTTGCTCTCATCATCACTTATCATAACTTCTTCATTTCGGTTTTTAGAAAGATTTTGCTTTGTACTGTTTTCAATGCATGATTTAGAAAGATTTTACTTTCTTATGTAAATCTGAATTTTCACGGTTTATTATTTTTTGTTTTCCGTATTAGCCACTTAATAAACGTTTTATATTTTTTCTTTATTTTCCTTTCATATATTCATTGAAACACGTGCATAGGCTTCACTTTTATTCTAGTAGTCAAATTTGGCTTATCACTGCAATAATTAGTGATTCATTTCTTTTAATTGAAACTTTGTAGAAGATTAGACGATTGGGATCTTTTGTTCTACAGAAATATCGCCCATAACACGGTTCGTTAATTTAATAGTTACGTTAATAGTTCTTTCATTTTTCTTCCTTATTTTAACTATCATTTTCCAGGATTTTTTCGCATGAACGCATCTATCATTGGAAAATGTAAACAGATCCAGTTTATTAGAGCAAATCCAGTTACTTGTGTACAAGATAACATTACGGAAAACACTAGAAAACCAAACATTTGCGGTAAAGAAGTACGATCTTTCTACGAAACTTTGTTAGCTGAACCGTCCACTTCGGTGGTTCCAGATGCTACGATAGTTAAACACACAGTTAAACTGGAAAAGCTCAAGAATAACAGTCAACATCTTCGGAAGTCCACGAGAGTATCAAATAATATCTCGAAGAAGAAGGATGATATTACAAAAAACGTCCAGCAACTTTTCAAGGATGCTGCAAATGGAAATATGCAAGGTGTTATGGATTATTATTGTGGAAAAGGTATGTTTGGTATTATACTTTCAAGGTGATTAGATAGTAAACAGTAATCAGTATTTCTTTTCTGATTTCTTTATGGTGAGAAAAAGAAGGACGATGGATTGATTTCCTCTTTCCAGCTATCGAAATTTATAGAAATACACTAAAAGATTTCAAATGGATGGTAGTCAGTATCAGAAATGGAAAATCATATGACATGAAAACTGCAGGAATGGATATCAATATATCGGATCAGTATGGTTGGACTGCATTGATGTGTGCAAGCTATGCAGGGCATTTACATATTGTTAAATATTTGTTATCGATGGGAGTAGATATTTCAAAGCGGTTAGATATCACTTTCAAAGCTTTTTCATTTTTATTGGACTGTCGGTCATTTGAAGTAGTCTATTTACTGTATAAAAACTTTTTGATTGTCCAAATTCATTTGTTTGGCATAAAAAAGTTATCGAATCAACCAGGACAATTCATATGCCACTTAAGTCCTTCTGGATTTACTTCTCCTAATAGCTACGGTCAAGTCCTTCCGATTTGGACACGATTTGAGAAAAGTAATTTATAGCTCCAACTAACAAACAATTATGTTTAATTTATCTGTTGTCATACTTTCAACAGTGGAATTTTCTTATATTAAGAATGAGGTTTTTTTTTTATATTTTCAATTTTTGATTCGAGAAAACTGTTATTTATCAGCACTGTGTGTGCAGAACATCTTTTCTGACGTGAATTATAAATTTGCAATTATATACAGAAGCAAATCAGGTGAAACAGCTGCTGACTTTGCATTAAAATGTGGACATCATGAAATATACCGATGTATTTTCTCACATGAAAAGGAAAGATCGAAGTATGTTTTTGTGTTGTTTTTCAAATAAGTACGAGCTTATTAACTGAGCTGGATGTCTTATATAATAATATCGATCGTGACGTTAAATTTTTTATCATATTTTAGCGAAATTTAATCCTCTTAAGCCACTTAATGGTTGATATTTGCTATGGTCGTTAATGCTCTTAGTGTGATGAATTACCGCTGAAAATGAAAGTATGCATTTTGCATTTTGCATAAAGTCACTGTTGGAGTTCTGTTAACGACTCATTTTATCATTAATATTATCAAATTATCTATCTATGTAAGGATCTACTATTTTCGTTAAAAGCTTTTTTTAATATTTCAGAAATTCCGGAATGCGGTGTGAATCATTCTTGCAAAAAATCAAAGAATCCGGAAATTTTGAAGAGATCACACGCTTTTGTGATGCCTGTCAATGTACTTATGTAGGAGAAGCTCATCTAAGCAGTGTAGCACATCTTTTGGAAACGCGAAAACCGGTGCTTGATCCAGGGTATGGAATTCCAGAATGGAATAAAGGTTATCGCATTTTACGGAGAAGTGGCTGGGATGAATTTGAAGGATTAGGTCGTAATGCGACGGGTCGGCGATATCCGATAAAAACAATACTGAAGAGAGATAAGCTTGGCTTAGGTTGTGCTAGATTCGATGCAGCTAAAGTGACTCATTTCAAGGTATATGTACTTTCCTATTCTTAGTTCCCTTTTTTCCTCTTTTTTGAAAGTTTTCTTTCGAATTAAAGACTGTCTTACTGTTTGTAGTTATAAGCAAAGGAAAATTTCATATATGACGTCGTAAAAAGATTGGAGTGTGAAATTATTTTGAAGTGAAACAATTACTATAAATATTGAAGTTTATGGTTGAAAATCTTATCATCTGAGTAATTTTTTTTTCTTTTACTTTATTCGTTATTAATGCAAATTTTTAGGCTAATGATGTGAAAGCGGTGAAAGTAGGACTTATAACGAGAGCAAAACAGATGAAAGACCGAAGGAAGCAAATACTTCACGGGAAGATTTTAGAGCGTCGATTTAGAAATATGTTTAGAGGTGATTGATATTGATTCAGATTCATTGTGCAATTTTTAACATTATGATTAGAGGCTTCGATAGATATTCTTGTAAGAAGTCATTATATTTTCTTGATATTCTATTGTTATTGGTTTTCTTTATGAGATAATAAATTTGAGCTTCCTAATCATGTTCCAACATATTTTTACTCTCTAGTTTTGTGAAGTTTTTTCCAAAGCATAGTTTTTTTTAACAAATGCTGAATAATGTTTGAAAAATGTTCATTGATCATTTCTGTTCCTGTTGATTGAGATTTTGGTTATTTTGTTGAGATTGATGGTTTTGTGTCATTTGTTTCGTCGTCAAATACTGCACATTATTCATCAATTTGTACGTCAAATAGTGCAAATCATTCACCAATTTGTTAGGCACATTGGACAGGTCACATAACTATTTCACTTAATTTTTCTTTCGATAGATATTTTTGCGTATTTGTTAATTAGTTTGAGTGGGTAAAATCTTTTTGTTTAAATGATTGTTTGTAACATATTGAATTGAGAAGAGTGAGCGGTCAATTTTTTTTTTCCTGTTTAAAGGTTTGTAATATATTTTGAAATGGAAAAAATTTGAATATCCTTTCAGTTGAAAGGACATTCGGATTAGGTTTTTATCCGTTAATATTTTATGTTGTTCAAATATATCGCAATAAAGATAAAATATTTTCCTGTTCCGCTGTTATCTGATCATATTAAACACGTATGCTAGCAAGGTAATGCCCTGTATTTTGTAACAATTTTTCAATTTTCAGCACTTTAAATGATGACTTAATGATATAACTTTCAAATGACATCGTAATTTGGTTGTAAACAGTATGTGGAAATCTTGAAAATTTTATGTGCTGATTAAAGATGGCAAGAAGAATAATTATCTGGTTATTCTGAATATATCATGTTGATTTTTTCGAAAGCATTCTAGTTTTGCATATTTGAGAATTACTTTGGACCATACATTTTCTAAACCGAAAAAATTATCGAGTATCCGAAACTTTTTTCAGATAAATTGAAGTTATTTTTGTTTTGTATTTCTGTATGAAAAATGAGTAGTATCTCAGACGCGGGATTAGAATGTGCTTTGTGTCACGAAAGTTACGCAACGGAAATTCGAATCCCGCGTGTACTACACGGTTGCGGTCATACGGTAAATTTGAAATTTCAAATTTGTGGTTTGAAACTTATTAGGATGTGATAATTTTGTTGGGAAATGCAAGTTGGTTAGTAAGTTTGTGATATTAATGACGTTCAGTATATTTTGAACATATTTTAAAGTATAAAACTGCAATGTCACAGGATGGTTGTAAATGAACCATTAATTTAGAGTGAATAACAGTTTACTTAAACGGTAATATTCTTATGTTTGTTGAAGGATTTCTGTTTATAATAAATTAGGCTAATAATTAATTGGTATATTTACTATAGTTAACGGTTTACTTAAAATGCTTTGTTCTTGATATACTATGTTAATGTTATATAATTTTCATATTTTTCAAGTTGGATGCCTAAAAAAATTACTATTTGATTTTGGATTAAATATTTCAGGTTTGCCAAACGTGCTGTTCAGCTTTAGTTGATGTCAGTGCACCTATTGCCCAAGTTATTTGTCCGTTTGATCGAACAGTTACATTGCTTGTTGAACCATGCGTTCTTTCGTTGAAAAAAAATTTTGCACTTATTGAAATAATTGAACGACACAAGAAATTCACGCAACCAGATCGGGTTTCACTATTATTTATGAGTTTCAAATATATGCTCGATCTATTAAACATTAAATTTTTATTATTAAGGACATAGTTATATATTCTTTTTTCACCTCAATTTTCTGATACTATAGTAAAATTTCCTGGTACAAAATAACAAATTGATACCTTTCACTCAATTGATATAGTTAGTCCAAAGAGTGTATGCTCGTGACGCAGTGAACTTCTTAACTAGATAATATTTCAAATACTTTGTGTTAGTTTAAATCAGAGAGCTGATGTGAACAGGCTTAGTTAGATAACAAGCTTATCTAAAGCTAGATAACATCTATTATCTTGATCCAACAATATATATTTACCGTCGCCATTTTATTAACTGAAGAAATGTATGCTTTTAAACTTACCGCATTGCGACATGTAGAAAATTGTTTTATGCACAATGAAGTTCTTTTTCTCTTGGTCCCATAATGTTTGATCGTTCTTTGTCAAATTTGGTAAGCTAAACTTTTTAGATAGATGAAGTACCATCACCGGAATATATGAAGGATATCGTGCTTGGTATACCGTGTGATGAAGATCCGAAACATACCGCTATATTTTATTGCATAGTTTGCGAAAGTAATATGTGTGGTGAATGTTCAAAACGTACACATGCGGGACGGGTACTTTCGAAGCATTGTCGTGTACCCGTTAGCGAAAAACCACTTTCTCGAACGATGTGCCCTTACCATTCAGCATACGCGATCGAATTCGTATGTCAGGTTTCTCTTTTTTCATGGTTAATTGCTAAAAAGGATAAATGCATATTTTTGTCGACGTGAAAACTCATGAAGTGTATTGAAAAATATATGCATATTGTAAATCAGATCATCATCAGAAATTTCCGTTGTTTGCGAAATGTTAGTATCAGTAGCATTGTATACGATAAAGATAAAGAGATGATATATAAACTTATTAGTCACACATAATTTGCTATATGTGGAAAAAAGCAAATTTATTAAAATAACTTTTGGTGACAATTTTGTTTAAATACTCTATAATATTATTATTTAGCACTGCGTTACAATATGAGAGGTTCTCGCAAAATGACTCGACATATTTTTTTATAAATAGTTCACGTATGTGTATGCATACACATTTTTACAGCGGTTTAAAATTATTGCAAGTAATTAATATTCTTTGTAAAGGTAAAATTTCCAGGAAGTAGAATGTCTGGAAAACAACCGCCTGATGTGTTTGCTATGTCGCGATTACGGACGTCACCGGAATCATCGACATTCTCTGTTAGAAGTTGAAGCTGCTGAATTAAGAGAACGGGTTCATGAAGCTCTTTCAGATTTCCGCAGTTTTATTAGTGATCTCAATGGATGGAATATCCGCGTGACACAGTGAGTCTTTGCATGTTTTTTTTTTTGTAATTTTAATGTTGAATCCTGTTACAGTTATCAACAGAGAACGTTGCTTATCTTTGAGACTTATTCGTGAATAGCTAGGTCTTCTTTTAAAATGATGATTGCAAGTAATTTACGAAGGATTGGGATATATATTAAACGTGGTTCTGCTAAATATGATATTGCATCTTAGTAATGCTAAAGGCATCATATTAAATGCTCAGACATTCTTGGTCCTGCAGGACAGTAGCTGAAATAATTGATATGAATGAAGGGTCTCATGCTACTGCACGACGACAAGTTGAAGCTCATTTTCGACGATTGCGTGAAGAACTTGAGCTTCAAGAACAGACGGCTAGGGCACGTTTAGATGCTCACGTTACCGATCGAATTGAAGCTCTTCGACAGCATCAACAAGAGCTGGCTTTCATTACTTCGCAGGTTTGATTATTCGATTGGAGGTGAGGAAAACGGATAAAACGGAGAACAATGAAATGAGAGATGTGGGTGATTCAAAAAAGTTACATTGATTAAGTATAATATAGTTAGTTTCTTTTTTGGCTCAATTTAGGTTTTTTTTAGTGTTCGAAGAAGGTTGATTTATTTGTTCCATAAATAATAAATAAAATCAGATTAATTTTGTTTGTTATCTTTGATTAAAATTAAAATAACGAAATACTTCAATCAAGTTTCATTAATTTTTGGCACCATCGCTCTTGAATGATGAAAAAAAAAAACATTTGTTTAGGTTACAGCGGTGTCAGCACAATTGCAAGAAAGCTCAGAAATGGACGATGCTCGACTTATTGAGCAACAAACTGATCTTATTAAAATGCTTGATGCTGTACGTACCCATCAAAGTGATATCGCTTCAGCTCCAAGTAAGCTCGTTTGAACAGTCCACTTTCGATAACTAATATAACGTTTAGAAAGCAGCTTACCAGCTTAATTCGTTAGTTTTTTGGTTTTCGCTGTAGTGAGTTGAGAATTATGATTCCTTTAAGAGTCTTATCATCTTTTTTCCCATTAAGCTTAATTTCAAGTTGTACGTTAAAGAAACAGTTGAATTCAGTTATGCTAAATAAAAATTTTGAATTTAAGGCGGTCTTTCGTTAGATACGAGAATTCCATTTTCATTCACAGCTGATAACCGAATTCATATGGGTTCAAATGTTGATATTCGTTTGGTTATTCTTGGTTTGGATGGAGCTGGAAAAACAACGATACTGTATAAGTTAAAGGTAACAAATGTTCTCGTAGTTTAAACAAAATATATGTCTTCTTATCAAACGTTTTTGCTTTTTTTAAAGTAGATTATTCTTGACTTCAGAGGGATTAAACTTCTTTTTTTCAGAATGATGACTGTAGACAATCGACAACAACAGTTGGATTTAATGTGGAAACAATTCAGTATAAGAATTTCAAGCTTACAATGTGGGATGTTGGTGGTGTACCGAAGTTGCGTCGCCTTTGGAAACATTATTTTATGAATACTCAAGGTTCGTTATTATGACATGTTTTTTAGATAAGATTTTGGAAGCAGCATTTGAGTGTAGCATCACGAATACGGATGCTTAAATGCTTAAAAGGAAATTGAAAAAGCGTTGTTTTTGTTTCTGTTATAGGCTGGAAAGTAATGTTTTTCCAAAAATATGTGATTGTTTTAGCCGTTGTTCTAATTGCTTGATTAAAATATTTTTTTAGGTAATTCCAAAATTCATCATTCTATCTGTAGAAAAAAGTTTGGTTATCCTTACCTAAAGTGTTTGCTTAATTGCAAATTTCAAAAAACTGTAGTAATCATCATAGACAATATTGGTACCTTTTTTAGAATACTTAAAGAAAAGTTTCCTGACATTTAATCATGTCGGAATTATTTGCCATTTAAAAACAGATCTGAAATTGCCAAAAAAGGGATAAAGTATATTTACTGTTATTAGCTTTTACAAATTTGCGAGATCTGTTTTTGAAAATTTTCTTGCTGTTAGTTTTGATATAGCAGAAATAGTTTTTTTCTAACATGTCACTGATCATATTTTATTTTGGAACGAAAAATAGGTAATTTACAGCTCTCATATTTGTTATCGACAGTTCGTGTCCCAGCCGTTTTGGGGAAGCCCAAAATGAATTAGCGAAAATATTTGCCGAGCGAGAACTTGTCGATGCATGCTTTTTGGTCATTTTGAACAGACGACAACCAACAACTGCTAATCAACACTGTGTAGTCAGTTCGGCTGCTATCGATCAACTTGTTATGAATATTAACCGATTTAGCGCGGGTAAGTTAGTGATCATGGCCCGATGAAGAAGGTGAAAAAGAAGAGAATTATCTTTTGTGAGATATGATTAGAAATCTTGTAATCTAAGAGGGCAACAGTTCGTATGATTGAAGTAAAGCAAAACAGATTTCCGATCTCTAAGCAAAATAGGAGCCATTCCATCTACCAGATAGCTCAAAGATTAAGTTCTGCACCGACAAAAGTGTAACCTGATAAGTGACGAATTAAATAGAAGCTTTTATCGCGAGCCTTTTAGAAACTTATATGATCATTTTTGGTTTCCTGTCGTAGTTGATATTGCTTAAATTGAAAACTAAAGTGATGCATATTAAATAATGGATAATTTAATAATGATATCGCTGAAGTTCTTAGATCAATTATTTTTTGATTTTAAAAAAAATCCATCTTTTCTTATAGGAAGAACGGTGGTGATTCATCAATGTAACGCAATGACTGGTATTGGCTTATGGGAAGCAATTGATGCACTTACGTCAAAGCTTTTGTTGGCACGAAATCAGACTGAAATTTTGGATGAGGACGAACAACAGGATGAAATAGAAGAATTGGAAGTGGAAGCGGAAACACAGACATCTGATCCATATTGCAGTTAAGTTTGGAGTTTTAGTCACTGTTATCGTTCTCTATTAGTTCTGCGAAAAATTGCAAAAGTTAACTTTCAGATTTTTTGGGAAAGAATTATGTATTTGCAGATTTCCTTGTGAATTTATATATTTTGTTATGTAAATAAAGCATATCATAAAATTATAGTCTTTGACTTTATTCATATCATGTTAATTTATGTACATAGCTGCATGTTTTAGGTGAAAAATGGATTTTGAAAACTTGCATGTCATTAGGAAATGAATTTATTTTATTTTAATGACCTTCCTTATATAAAGCCAGTAACATATTTTGTGCATATCTTTTAGCAATTTAGCTTTAGACTTAGATTTAAATATTACATCATGTTTTTTTTACACCATTAGGATTATCTGCTACATTGTTATTCGCTCTTTTTTGATGACGAATTTCGATTTTTTTCGAAAAAAGTCGCATGGAGTTAATTAAAACTTTCTCCTTGGTAGAAGATTAAGTTCCGTATTCTAGTTTTACATCATCATTGTGAAAATTATATTTGTATTTCTTTATCGTTATTGTAAATAAAACTATTTGAAAGTTTTCATGATTAATACAACATATTGATTAGCAAACATTTTAATATCCAGAGAAAATTATGCACATATGGGCGTCAAAAATTTCATTTGCAAAAATTTGCACCTTATAAAACGTCTTTTAAAAATATAATTGTTCCTCAAAAATTATTGTTTCTTTACAGCATCAAAGTGAATGGTAGTTTCATTCGGACATGTCGAGAATGAATTTCCGGAGAAGTATGTGCATTGAGAATTTTGGAAATTCTCCAGAATTCGATATCTTCTGAAAAATCCATAAATATTAAAAAAAAATATTGATTGCAAAATCAAATTTCAAAATTACCAATAGAATTTTTGATTTCTAAAAGAAGTAAAAACTAGGTGGATTACTGTTTCTTGATTAGTATCAAAAGGAAAAAAAAAACTGTGGATAAGAATGTGGAATTACTTTCAAGCACTTTTTTTTTCAAAAAATTAAGATAATCTTGCGAAGGCTATACGAGCTGCAAATGAAACTCTGGCAAAAATCGAACAACAAGAAAGAAATTTTTATAAAACATATGGAAGACACGAAAATGATTGCCTGAACGAGTTTCTTTCTGTATATTTGACAATTTTTCTTCCTTCTGTTATCATACTCCCTTAAAGTTCATCGTATGATTTAGAGTAATGAGATGAAATTAAAATAGCTTTCTGTTAGTCCTACCCAAAAATTAGTTTACAATTCCTATTAGCTATCAAATTGAAACAGTTGATCATTCCTTATATGAGTATTATTATCAAAANAAAAAAAAAAAAAAAAATCTCACCAAATTTATAAATGAATGATTGCTCCTAAATAGTTTATATATTATTTTAAATTTTCGACAAATATTTTCACCTCGCCTTTCTCTTTCAAAAAAAAATTGCTTACAACAATATAACCCATCAATAAGACACAATAAAGAAATGTTAGTAACAACACAGGTCAGCAAGCAACATGAAGAAATCGTATCGAAACAATTCATGAAACAGTTCGATCGATTAATTTCTGATATAAATGTACAATTGACATTACTGGAAGCTAAAACATATACCGTGCCGGAAAATCATTCATCTCAAACAAGCGTCATAAGCAGTAATATTTCTATTATTGGAATGATTTTCGTGCCAAAAAATCAATGAAAATCCATTATTAGGCCTAATTTTTCTTTCATTTTTTTCTTTTCAAAATTAAATATTTTTAGAAAACTTTGAAATTTTCAACTATGATTTAAGGATTATATTTTTAACTAAATGAAAGACATGATTATATAGTGTCAACGCTTGAAATATTTAAAGTTAAGCCTTTTATGCAAAACATTCTGATGATTTAAATCAAATCGTTTCTTTGTAATTGGATACCTATATGAGTAATCGGTTTATTTTCTTAGCTTATTTGATGTTTCTAAAAGAAATGTCAGTATTATCACGATTTTGATATTCATCTGGATTTCAGTACAAATATTTGCAAGTTTGAAGAACTGTAAATAAAGGTTAAAAAATGGGAGTAAAATGTGACAGTAAACAAGTCAGTAATAAAAATATTCACTCATTTTCAGACTCATCCTCATCAATAACCAATTTATCGTCAATGGAACGGGATAGATCAAAAAAGCTTGAGCAAATTGATAACGAACTGATGCAATTGGAATTGCGCCTTGCTAACATTGAAAAGCGCATACAAGAGGATGTAGAAGCGGAAGAAATTGGCATTGAGGTTTTTTGTAATTTGCTTGGAAATTTATTTCCAAAAATTTCATAGCAGTAAGAAAAGCTGATGGCGATTGATAATATGATGATGATACAAGAAAGGAAATATTTTATATCAGAGTAGTAGAAGCAGAATTAAAATTCAAGTCAAATTTGGAAAAATGATCCTTATAATTTTTTGACAACTTTATTTCCAAATGTTACAGTGCTTATTCGCTTCACATAAATAAACAAACAAATAAATAAATAAATGAGCCAATAAATAAATAACTAAATGCAATAAATAAATAATATGGGACAAGGAATGAAATATTTTGCTCGTTTAAATGGAATTGATTTTCGAAATTTTGTTATATTCAAAAACGGAAAGCTTATGATTATTGTGTAGTTCTAATTGATAATAAAATTAGCTAATGTAAGATCGAAATGTAAAATTTCATTTTTAAACTTGTATACTTTTCATGAAATAAACGGAATAATTACGTTATTTTTTATTTTTTGACAATGCATATCGAAATAATTGTCCTATTGTAAATGCATTATTTTTCATTTAAAAAATTTGAATTTTCCAAAAATTTTAATATTTCCAAGTAAAAAATTGACCAATTAGACAAAATAAATATTTTCAGTTTCCAATCGCTGATATCATTGACTATGTGACAGCAATTAAAGTGACAATGTATAAGCGACACCTATTAGCCAATCAACTTCATCGAGTTATCCTCAACGACGAGAAATTTAAGGAAGAAGCCAAATTTTTGAGGAAAGATTTCGCTGTTTGGACTAAAGAAGAGCGTGAAGATGTACGAATTACTTGAAGACTTTTAAGTTTCATTCCAATTTAATAATATTTACTTTTCCATATTTAATTTTTTTCTTAACTTAACCGTTTGCGTGGAAGTATGTCTTCTGTTTCACTGCAAATTTTTGTAACTGCAAATACTATAATGAATTTTTGGATAGAATAAATACAAATGAAATCAAATAACTTTTAACAAGCATGTAAGGCAAATTTATCCTCACGAATTTATTTGAATTCGGGTATCATTTTACATCTTTGCTATGCATTTATAGTTATTTAATTGAAAAAAAATTTTTTTCTAACGATTTTTTTATTTTAACTTTTAAACGTACCAAATGATAGTTCTGTTTCTAATTCAACATTGATTTTTTAATGATTACTTAGTTATTCGCGTTAGTGGCATTTTAGTAATTTTAGCCTAAAACTGATTAATTTTTAATAATAAAATATAGCATTTCTTTTCATATTTTTCAGTTATTGACAAAAATGGCTCGTTTAGAAGAATCATTAAATAAACTTCAAGAATTTCCGTCAGTTTATGATGATGAATTTAACAAATATTATCCGTTAATGAATGATTTGGGTCTCCTGAAACGTTTTGTTTCACGATTTTTGGATAAATATGAGGTAAAGTTTAAAATTTGACTTCAAATTTTATCTTTTTTTGAGAAAATTTTATTGACGGATAGTATTTCTGTCCGACGGAAACCTCAGAAAAGCAATGTTATATGTCTAGAAAGAATGAATTTGACAAAACTAATTTTATTAATCGTACGATTAAAATAATTCGTTCTGCATCTTTCTCAGAAGAAGTAATCCTTCTAATTCTTAAATTTAGTTTTTTTTTTCTATTATTTTTATCGGTTTCTTGTTCAAATTCAATATTTCAGATGGATAGTAGTACAGCTTCAACGGCAAGATTAACATCATCATTTTCGTCATTTCAATGTATGCATTATTTATTTTTTACTGCTAGATGAAGTTTTTTCTTTTAATATGTAGCTAAAATTTTGCTAATTTAAGTGGATAAAATCTCTTCAGTACTTCGCAATTTCTAAAATTCTGAAGAAAAAAAAAAAGAGCTTTCGGAGTTTTTTCCAGCTAACCAAAAAAGAGACAGATTCAGAAGGTCAAATGAATGTGATCAAATCGGATGCTCTAAAAGAGATGTCAAAAAATGCTAAAAAAACATCGCGCATTATTGCAGTAAGGAAAAAGAATGAAAAATAATGAATCCGATGCTGATGTACGCAAAATAAGAAAGAAACGTGGTTGATCTCATTCAATCTGAATTATTTATTTGTATAACAGTTACTATCATTTACCAACTGTAAAAAGTGAACAATTATGCATTAATCAATAAATTCAATTTACAAGAAAGATAAAATTGAGAAAATGGAATGAATTTTTCTTTCTATTTAAAGATAATTTATGGAATTGAATAAATTTCATTTCATTAGATATGATTAAAGGATTTCATTTTGTGTTTACATCTTGAGTATTAAGCTTATGCAACTATAATACCAGTAAGCAAAAAGGTTTCAATGAGGAATAATTCGCTAGTAGCATTTGAGTTGAACGAAAGCTATGCAAAAATTATTTCTTCCAGCTAATAGGATTTGAGTTATGAAAGCTATCCAAAAGTTATTTGTAATAGAGAGCTCTGTTTTTTAAATCATTTAAAATCAAATTTAAAATGGTAGAAAATAATCAATCCGTTGCATTGCAAAATGAAAAGATATTTGCATTCATTAAATTTTTTTTTCCCCATTTTTAATAATTATGCATCGTTAGGTGCAGAATTATTAAGAATGGGAAAAAACTATCATGAAAGCAAACATATTCAACAAGCATCTTTTGGGAGACAAAAACAGTTTTTCATCAAATATGACATTTGTCAAAGCAGAAGATCCGATCTGTCAAAATTGACAAATTCAAAAAATCACCTAAAAGAGGGCCACTAAATGTGAGAGAAATATGCACGTAAATGCTGCGGCACTCTGATTTCTTGCACTTTTTTTATTTCAGATGTACAGCAACAAAGGAATTTCTGCCCAAACCGAAAATGAAATAATATTTTGTGCATATTCATTCGGGGTCATCTCTGTCCAATTTTCCCCTCCCCCCGTGCAATCATCAATTTTTTTTAAAATGTTGTCAACGCTTTGCCCAAATTATTCTTCACAATGCAATACAATAATTGAAATGAAATTATTTAATATAAATGATTAAACATCATTCTTGCTAATTTATTGTTGCACATCGATTACACACAGCTCATTCATATAAGCATCTTTGATAGTTCACAATGAAAGTTATTGGGTGATCTCTGTCAAATTCTTTCGTTTTGTAATTATATTTAATTTTTTTTCATTAAAGGATAAATTTTCTTTTCCATGCTAACATGTTTAGAAATACATTTTCTGAAAAAACTTCTTTAGGCAAATTATTAAAGAGCAAATGGTGTGATTTCTTATAAGAAACTAATCAATGCATTTATAAATTTGAATATTTTTTAGAATCGATAACAAATTATATTCATCGAAAAGTGAATAGCATAAAAACGGGATGGAACACATCTCCAAAAGCTCAAATACCAATACCATATTGTAGTAACTAATTATGATTGAAGGATCGAAATATTCAGGAGATTGTAAATCTGAAGTGAAAAATTACTTGAGATTGTAAATTTCAATTGGAAAATTATTTGAGCTTGGGGAAAAAATGAAATGTCTAAGTTAAATGTTGAAGTCATAGCTATAGTGCAAAGTTTGAATTCCGATTAAATTCATGTTTATGAAAAAGAATTTATAAAATTTTATGTGAGCTGCAAAAAAAAAAAATAGAATTTTTGTGTTCGAAAAATTTTACGAGCAGAATTTATGGTTACAGATTATAACACTATAATTAATTAATAAAATACGAAAAATAAGATTGAAACTTGTTGTCACCAATGAAACTACAAATGAGAACATAAATGTTATTGGACTGTTTATTAAATTGTGGTCAAACCTGTTATATTAAAATATTTTTCCGGCTATTTAAGGTCCCACATTTGAGCTTCATTCTTATCTGATGTATTATCAGCACGGCGTTTTGTTATCAATACATTCATTAATTCTTTATACTTTAATCATGAATGTTTCTTTTTCATTTCCAGAATTTTCGCCTTTCTGAAGGGTCTCATGCAATTTTGGCATTTGACGAATTCTATTTAACTTAAATATCTCGTAATGGCGCTCACTCCATTAATCTTTTACCTAAATTATAATTTATTGAATAAAGAAAGAAATATTGAATCGTTCCTGTAATAAATAATACGCCTAGCCTTTGATTGTGCGAAAAATACAATAAACCAAAAGAAATTTCACAGATAAAGTATGTGAGAAAGTAAAGGAAGGAATTAATCAGATTACAAGCTGCGAGAAAAAACATAATTAACTTAATGAATATACCTTCAGGCTTCTTCTCTATCATTTTTTTTCTTCCGCGTTATTTGCAGCCTACTTGGTGTTCCTAATTAGAACTTTTAGTTCGGCATGAAAGCATTAATCTTGAATTCACGGATGAGATGAAATCCTTCCAACGATCATAATTGATTAAATTAAAGAGCAAAAAAAAAAAGAATAGAAAAAAGAAAGTTACAATCATTGCTATTATCATTGGAATTCATTTTTCAGAACTGCGGAATTCATTTTCTGCAATCGTCGAGATGATTCTCATCGGTGTGATTAATGGAACTACTAACATTGTCACTCTTTTCATGATTTTAAATACAAGAAGGATGCTTCCGAATATTTTCAATTAAATTAATCAGTGCTAATAAAAATTTTCAACTTCAAACAATCGATCAAATTATTTGACATACAAAAATCTTATTAATATATGCATTACACTGAATATATTACTCTTATGGGCTAATTTCATTAGTTAACTTTTCCAAATATGTTTGATTGGTCTATCATTACATGTTTTTTGTCTTATGTTATGATTAAACTTATCATTTCATTAAACAATTCTTCGATTAGTTCAAAATGATCATTACGAAATCACTTGCTTATAACTAAGTAAACGATATTAGACATTTGTTAATTTGAAAATGAAAATTATTATTTAACATTTTTACTCTGTGACATCCTTTTTGATTCTTGAATATTAATAATAACAATAATAATACTCGTAATAAGAGTAATAATAATACTTTTATTTGCAGTTATTGATAATGAATTTTAATGTGAGACTTTCCTTTAGTCATTTCAGGTACTTAATCTAGAAAAAAATAAGGTAATGATGGGAACAAGTTTTTGGATTAATGTTACTACAATATTTTTCGCGCTGTCACTTTGTGTTGTAATTTTAATATGTGGTGCGATTTTCAGCAGCATCAATGATTTTTATAAAAATGCCCTTGATGACCTCAAAAAATTCCAGGTTTGTATTTTCATGGGCAGTGAAATTAGTGTGATGCTAACAGTACGTATCAGAGTTCCCATTTTTTGAAATTAATATTTTAATATTTTTTCACGGTACTGATTACAATGAAAACTTTAATTTATAGAATATTGAAAGTACAACGACAGGGTGGTAAATTTTTTGAAATTATTAGAAGGAAATTTTTAGATTATCGAAAAAAATGTCTGGAATAAACTTTCGCAATTTCCCTCTATGCGAATCATTCGAAAAATACCGCTGAAATCTCCAGAATATAATCGAAGGCGGAGACAAATTTCACGAAAATTACAAGAAATTAATTTCGAAAATGACAATTATATGGCATCATTGGAAGAAATTTCCTCGCAAATTATTCCTATCATTTACAGAAGTGGCGAAGAATTAAAACAAAATTATCGTAGTCCAATTCTTAGTAAATTAATTTTCAAACTTCAAGACCGTTTTTGTACTTTTCGCATTCAAAAGAACAGTTTGAAATTTTAATTTGAACTTGTTCGCAATCTCATTTTTTTGTAACCAACAAATGATAGGGACAGAGGATGAATTCTAATGGTAGTTAATTACTTTAAAATAAACCTATCATTTCCTTTAAATTAAAAGCTTATAGCTTCTAATTTGAAAAAAATGATAGGTTTATTTTAAACTTTTTAATTTGTAATTAATTCAAAAATCTTTTCTAGAGTGCTTAAAAATTTATCCATGTCCAAGCGGACTACCGGGACCTCCTGGAAACAAGGGAGAAGATGGAGGTACATTTTAAATACAAATCCAAGCAGTAACAAATTGAATATAAAGAAAGCAAAAATCTTTCATATTTTTTTATGAGAATTAAAAAGCAAAAATTTTCAGAACCAGGAATTCCTGGCGCTGATGGTTATCCTGGCTTGCCAGGAATTACTATTGGGTATGTGATGTCAAATTGTGTCAAATGTCCAGCAGGTCCACCTGGCCAAAAAGGACCTGATGGACCACCAGGAGAAGATGGTGTACCTGGTAAGCCAGGTTTAATTAGAGCACTTCATGGGCCACCAGGACCAATCGGTGATCCGGGACCTTCAGGTAATAATTTTTCTTAAATTCAAATTCATGAATTTTAAGAGCAAACTCTGATTTTTGATAAATTCGAAACGGAAGATTGCGATGAGAATAAATGGCAAAAATTCTATGGATAAATCATTTGACACACAACTGTCGTCAATCTTTTTGAAATTAAAATTTATTTTTAGAAAAATTTTTAAATTTAGGTTTGCCAGGTAAGCAAGGAGAACCTGGTATGCCCGGTGCACCTGGCATGCCAGGTACTAAGTATTTGATTGGTGCTTGCGGACCAAAAGGACCGCCAGGATTACGAGGTCTTGCTGGAGAGCCTGGAATTCCTGGCAAACAAGGGCCACCTGGAAAAATCGGATCGATTGGTGTAATGGGAGCTGCTGGTGAACCAGGTTTAAGCGGAGCACCAGGACCTGATGGAATGGTAAGCTTATAATTTTACAACTTTAGCTATTTGCAAAAATTCATTGTCGATTTAAAAGCAAATAGAAATCTTCAAGACATCCTTTGAAATCTTAATTGACATATGAAAATGACTTCAAAATGATTAAAATCTTGCAATTATACTGCTTCAAATAACAAATACTATTAGGAGAACAAATTTTTTAAATTTGCTAGCAAAACATTTTCCGATGATTTGCTTATTTTTAGCCTGGACCACCAGGAATTCCTGGCATTGATGGTCAATATTGTGTCTGTCTATCACGGGACAAAACATCGCCAACTTCATACCCGCAACCGCCAGCTTTTCAACCTTCCAATTTACGCTCAGTGAATAATCGACAAACTTCAAATGAACCCACACATACAACTATCACTGATACTCAGATTCAATCTAATACAAAATCAAAAATTAGTCCCTATTATCGGAAAACCTTAGGAGCTACGATACATCAGATCCCTGGTTTCAAAGCTAAATCCATGTTAGTCCCGAAACAAATCGAATTTAATCCATTTCCTGTTCCTGGCTCATTATCTACGATAGGATCGGTTGTGCAACATGTAGAAAACAAAAAAATCAATTATACGGTAACATCATATCCTTCCAATCACCAAAGAATCATTGATAAATCAAAAAATTGAAATTTTTAATCACAATTACTCCTCTAAAATTCATAGTTTCCTTCATTACAACCTTTTCATCACAGCAAATACCAACTATTAACGAAGTACCAAAAAATCAAAAGATTAATTTTCTAAATTCATTTTTTTTATCAATATTTTTATGATAAATGTACTATTGAATATTATATCCAACTGAAAATAACTATTTTTCAAAATCAAAATAACCATTTTTTGGAAAGTTTTTAAGAATTTGATTTCATCAGTTCAGAAAAAATACAACAGTTAATTTATAGGTTGCAAAACAAATTTATTACCCTTAAAAACTTCCACCAATTTTCTCATTTTATGATTTCCAACTCTGGTTACAATTTGCAAGACAAAGAATAACCAAACAATTCTAGCAAAAAAAAAAGATAAGATTTCACAGATAAATTAAAATTCGTTAATGAAGAAAAAAGATCACATACCTTTCCGAAAATGTTAGCCATAATAAACCTGCTAAGGTTCACTCTTTATCATTTTTTTTATTGCTTGAAATTACTTTTAATTATTTTCGTAAATCACAATTGCATTTTGCATTATGATGATATTTATTTAAAAACAACTAATCACATTACGCTATCGGAATAATATTTTACTTTTGCGCGATATTACGCTCAATTCTAAATAAACTATTGACATCCATAAGTGACTCTATTTTAGTTATGGTTTTTGTCACCCTGGCTTGATTAAGTAATGCATTATGCTGAAAGTAAGCATGGAGATATATTATTTATTGGGAATATATTTGAAAAAGAAAAAAATTAGCATCAAATGCAATCGTTATTTTTGTTTTGCTTTCAATTAATCAAACAAAATGACCAAATTTTGGTAACGTTTATGAATTCAAAAACAAAAAAAAACTAAATTATGACATTTTTAAGTATAGACCCATCAATAATCCTTAATAGCACTACGTTACCCTATATTTTTTTAAAACAGTAACGATTAAAGTTAGAGCCAAAGGAATAATTAAATATTGACAAAAAAATTTTACATTACGAGAATATAATCGATTATTTCTATTAAAAATAAATCCAAATCTCATTATGCATGAATACAAGAATTCCACGACTAAGACTAATAAAATTATGAAGGATATTGATGAATCTGACAAAAAAAAAGAACTGCAACTCATTTTTTATAATTACAACAGTTGAGAAAAGAATATTCTTAGTCTTCAAAATGGAAATCTGGCAAAATGACAAAAACAATTTACAAGAGTCAAGTAGAAATAAGTGCAACAAATAAGTAAAATAAGATATAAAACCAATAAAAATAATGTGCAACTTAATTCAAGTTATTAAAATTAATTAAAAGCCTATAATTTCTTCAAAAAATCATAATTGTATTCCATATTAAAATAAATCCATGGAGGAAAAATAGGACTCGAAACAATGAATTTTATCTCAATATTTGATTATTAAAAAAAATTAGGTTTTTTTGGATGGTAGCAAAGTGACAAAAATAAGTGCCCGCTATATATATATATATATATAAAACGTATATTAAAGCAACATAAAACAATAATTATATCATTTCAACACACTATTATATCATTTCACAAATAAATGTAATAAACATACTATCCGAGAGTGATGAGTAATTAAAAACTTCAATATATCTAAAACTCCAACATCCCAGTACATCATTTCATGAAAAAGGATGAACTTTCCGAAAATTCGTAAACTATTTTTCAATACTGACAATAAATTTCATCTCCTAACATTAAGTTAATCCATTATTTTTCTATCCACTAAAACAATAATTATTCATTTCAACACACTATTTTATTACTGTCAATTGAAAGAAGTTTATGATTTTAAATAAATAAAATACTATCCTTATATTTTTTTCCTTCAGAAATCATACAATATTAAATGATGTTAAAGTTAAGACGATTTGTTTAATACGGAAAATATGTTAGATAAGATCTGACTGAATAAATAATTACTGCAGAAAAAAACCAAAATTACCAAATCACTGATTAAGAAAGAATCAGTGATTTGTAATTTTCCTGATTAAAAGAAAAATTATTATATGTCACAAAAAAGTGGTAGCGTTCCAGTGTGAGGTTCTTGCTTTGAGCAAATTTCATTTATACTGCGATCAAGTCGAGATGCCCAATCAACGCACTTCTCATATAACATCAGCATACAATAAGCATCTAATGCTGCATATCGTAACTGGAAAAAAGTTTAAAATTGCAACTAAATCACTCTAATGAACTACTAAATCAAAAGATGAATAAATAGGTGACTATCATGATATTTGAGAAGTCATCAATAATGGTTGATGAATGGTGGAAAATTAGTGGATGGATAATTTTGAGGATGGAAGAGAGGAAAACAATCCTTTGGATGTTCTTCTTATCCAACTATAGAAAGACAAATGTTAGAAATGAATATTTCACAAAATTCAGGGAAAAATACATTTGAAAAAAACTTAACAGCCATTATCAATAGAAATACTATGCAATTTCAGACTAAATGAAACGAAATTTTTATAATATACCTGCAAATCACGAAGTGGACGCCGATCCCAAACAGAACACTGCTCTGTTTTGTCCAATGGTTTACCTAACACTCGTTCGCACAATGCTGACAATCCTCTGATTTCCTTCAATAATGGATTTTCTTCACTATTTCCCATGTTGTCCCTCTCCTGTTTTTGTTCTGACTAAAAATAATAAAACGTTGACATGAAGCAAAAAAAAAAATACTATTTCAACCTCCAACGACATAAAATATTATGAAAATGAAAAAAACCTGATTAAACTACAACATAAAATCAACATTCTGTATTTTTTTAAAGAATTAATACTGTAAGGATATGGTTAGCAAAAAGCAACAGATTGAAACTATTAGGTTAATTAATGAAAAAGTAATGACAGGTTGAAATGATCATCTTTACTATTCTCCAGTTCTGATCTGCTATTGAAACTCCTACTAGTTATGCACCAAATGGAACTTGAAAAAAACATGGAATCTGGCATTTCACCTTGCTTCTCGGAAAGCTTCATATCTTCTCTGTCTGGTTTCCGAAAAGCTTTATTTTTGAATTTAAAATGATCAGCAAATTAATAAATATAATTTTAAAATAAATTCAGACGGAAAATAAGATATATGAGAATAACAAAACTTACCGTAACTAACTTCTTCACTTCCTCTATTTCTTCTGTTGTTGTTGATGCTACGCTATCAGATTTATTCACTACTTGGGATATATCAATCGAAACAAGGTTCATCTTTGCTTCCACATCCTCTTTACAATCTGTTACGTGAGTCCATGCACTCTCATCCATTTCATCAGACGTAATGATATCATTTCTTATTTCTTCTACAGATCTTTCATTTGTTTGTATTTTTCCCAGATGAAAAACTCCATCCAAGTTTATCTCTGGTCTTTCCGCACTTTCTTTCATTAACTGTAATAAAGCCTCAGAAATCTAAGCAAAAACTTTTTTTGAGCAAAAAGAAAAATTCTACAAATACTGATACTATTATGACAACAATGTGTGGAATTTAATTTTTATGCTAACCGATTTAACAAGTTTGCCAATACATATTAAATTTTTTGGATGATATAAAGCTGAACAATGTTGTACCGCACTTCGCAATTGAATAAGATCTTCATCAAACTGATAACCTTAAAGATATTGCATTAAATCTCTAATATGATATCTAAGAATGCTTAAACAAAACTTTTCTACATCATTCAGAGTAATTTGTTCGCAATAAATTAGAATAAGTTAAAAAATTATCACTGAAAGACATACATTTATGTATGGATTATCCTTTCTTATTTTAGCATTGATTAAGCCAACGCTAGTTGAAAATGGAGAAAGATCGAAAAAAATGACCTATTTTTGAACCTATTAAAAAAAAATGAACCTATTTTTAAAAGCTTCCACTCAACGAATAGTTTTTCGAAAAAATTTACTAATATATTAGGTTTGATTTTATCAATGTCTATTATAAATACATGATATGGAATAGCCAGCTGTAGAATAGTTGCTCTGAAAAAATGATTCATTATAAACATTATAACACTAATCATAACACTAATCAGTTTGTTTAATTGATTGCTGGATATTATACATGCTCACTTAGATATTCAAAAACATCTGCTTTTGAATTATTGTCTTTAATGACATAACTTAGAATTTGCCAAAAAAGTTAATTTAAAAATGCTACAAATTAGAGATCTAACTCAAAAATAATGCAGATGAAAAAAAATAAGAAAGTTTACACAACTATCCATACAAATTTTATCTTACTATTCAGCTTTAAACAGCATTTTTCCATTCACTTATTGGTCCAGAATACGATTACTGTGGAGAAAGCCAGAACTAACTTGCTGTAGGAAACATAAGAAGACCATTCCGCATCTACACCGACCGGTGGAAAGCTATCATTTGCATAATCTTCCAATAGATTGGCAACACGCCTCAAATGTGATGGATGCCGTACAAATTCGATTCCTTCTACTGATTCCGGTATGCTTAAATATGGTGGATTCGGCGTACGCGGATCCAAGTGTTCCTCTTCACTATAAAATGTTTCTCAAATTTACTTGTACAACAAATTTATGATCACGCTTTTTATACTTTTAATAAATTTCCACATAAAATTATTGCATTTATGAACAGCTTTACTGATAAGAATGCTAGTGAAAGAATAAATGCGATTAACTAGCTCATTAACTCCCGGTCATCTAGTAAACCAAATAAAGTAATAGCTTCACACGAATGCTTCAGTCGGACAGCTAAAACATTACAAGAATTTACTGACCTTTTATGAGCCATATATTTTCTTCCATTGGCCGGTATTTTGCAATTTTGCCACATTTCTGCACCCTGAGGATCCTTAAAGTCTTTGCTGAGTGTTTGCACGACAAATTTTTTCATGGACGGTCTCTGTGCCAATATTGTCCAAATCACTTCATTCAAGTTTTCAATCTAGAACATTTGCATTTTACCAGAATTTTTGATTAAAAAAAAAGTGTTTTGGCTGAAGAAAAAAAAACATAAAAGTGATTCAACTGTAAGATTTATTAGGCAATTATTTTGGCATTAGTTATCTCTAATCTCATAACTTGGACCAAACCTGAAGATTGGTTAAATTTAATTCGTATCCGTAATCATATTTTTTTGCGGGGAAAAACATTGAATTTGATGTATTTCTATTATTTTTTTTTTTGTTCTGAAGATTTTGTCTTCAGGAGAGAAAAAGTGTGCACCTTCCAAGTTTTCTCACAATAATACTTCGCAGCACACTTCTTTACTAAATGGTGAGCCCATCTAATGTTAATTCGATCATCTGTTGGCGGTATTCCTCTCAAATCTCTCATCAGTGTTGAAAATGAATCATGAAATCCGACGTATGCATATGCTACAACTCTGCCGTTCGAATCATTTTGCTTTACCGATCCCAAATAATGAACTAAAATTTAAATATTTAAATTATATAACAAATTATAAATAACAACAGTATATGAAAGTTCCATTCAAGTATCTATAAAATTATCTATCTAAAAATTATGCAGGACTTAATTAACTGTATTATATTCATATATTCCCTTCGAAAATTTTGAGGAACCATGAAATGAATCCAGAAATTACCAACTGCACGCTCCCATTCTTTCGGCGAACTAACCAATTTCTCTACTTCTAACAGAATATCACGGCATTTCTGTCGAAATTGCTCAGTTCGCTTTGCAGCAAATAATTCAACAGTACTGGCACGTAGAGGACCCAAAAGAGCAGCGGAGTATAAAATTGCTGGATCATCAAAGTAACGTGAAATCACTTTGTTACGAATGCAGTAATCAATAGCAGTAAAACTGGAAATAAAAAGCTTACTAAGTCTCGAAAAAATGTCTATTCTATAGTTGATATTAATAATTCTATAAAATATTTCGAAACTAAGTATTTTTGATTATAAAAAATCTTTCACTGATGGAAACAAATATCTTCAAAATATAAAACTAATAAGAGAGAACTTTCTCACTATTTTCCATTAAGTAACTAAAGAAAAACGATCTCTTAAGGGGTGAAGTGGTTGCTAGCCGGTGATCACGATTACTGATATGTTCAACAGTTCAATATATTGAAATAGGATAAATAAAAGAATTTGGAAAAAACCTTGCTTTTCCTGCCGATGCAGCGCTAGAAATAACTGTTATTACATCTCTTGGATATTTGTTTAAATTCAACACATAATCAACTAAACTCCAAAAATTTGAGTCGAAACTGAAATTCAGCGGCACTAGATCTCTTAGAATTCTGCATCGTTGCTCATTAGTGACATTCACACAGACGAAATTTGAAAATGAATCTTGTTTGTGCTAAAACAAGAAAGTTATTTCAACGTAAAAATGACATTTGTATATTATTAACAACATCAATTACTGCATTAAAAATAGATTCTATTAAGTGAAGAAAACAAACAATCGAGATTTTCACGCAAAAATGATACAAGTTATTATATCTCAAAAAGTTATTAGACATAAAGTATTACTTACGCTTTTTTCTTTCGTTTTATTTGGCAGACGTTCTGAAGCTATAACGCTCATGAATGCCTGCAAATTATTAGTAAAGCAGAGTAATTTAGTTGTAAGAGGAATTGAAATTTTTACTGCAAAACTGAAATCAATCAAAAAAGGAAGAAAAATCCAAAACCTTTGAAATAAAAAGCACAGTTTTAACATTATAAAAAAATACCACTTTCTAACCTGGGCAATGAGAAAAATTAAATGATAAAATTTCGGTGTCCACCAGCTGTTATATTTCGGACATTCAGCTGCAACAATGGGAAACTGTTCAATCACTGCCGTAAAAGCATCAATCAGAAGATGTGGTTCGAATCTGTATATTTTGAAATCAATTAAAGAAGAATGGATTACAATTTTCCATTGAGCTATCAAAATATGAATATATTTTTTTGAAACATCTGGAAAGAAAAAAGTTTTTTAAATCAAGTCAAGTTTGAATTAAATTACTGAAGATATTTTAAATATTAGATCATAAATCACAATTGATTTTTTTTTTTGCTTAGAACATTTTTCTTGTAATAACTTGAATAAAATAAGTACATCAGCATTTAGGAAATATAGGTTTCAACTGCACATACTGCTTCATCCTTCTCAATGACTTCATGAATGAAACTAACAATACTAACGGTGAAGTTCAATAATAACTGTTTTGCATTTGGAAGCTTTGAAAATACAAGAAAAAAAGAGAACTGAAAATCTTTGCGAGAATCATTGAAATTTAACAATGATATATATGAGAATCAATCACCTGCTTACAAATAATTCATAGCCAATTTGTTTTGTTGATAGAGTGACGCGACCCTGTTTATCTGTTTTCACGCGAAATGCTTCATCAATGATGTTACGAATGGTTAATGGATCAATTGATGAAAATGCAGGCTGAGTTAATGTCATTGATGGTCGTAAAAGCATTGATGAAGCGGTCATTTCTGAAATGTCCATCCATGGAAACCGCTGCATTTCGTTAAATTAGTGATAACAAACAATGATTCAAAGAACCGTTCCTGATAATATGAAAAATTAAAATGAAATTAAAAATGATGCATGAAACATTTGAAGATGTCAACAAAAATGATCATCATTAAAAATATTGAAGCATATAAGGAGAGAGAGAAAGAAAAGTGATAATTAAATGTGAATTTGTAATTTGGAGAAATTATCCTAACAGAAAGATGAAGAGATTAACAACGAAGTGTGTAAAATTGGCAAATATAAAAAAAAATGAAAAAAAATATAACAAAAATTGAGAAAAAAGCTGCAAACTTCAGAAACATATCCTAATTTCGTGTTACCTAAACAAATCTGACAAATATGATCTAAATTTAACTAAAACAAAATTCGATCCAAACGGTCCAAAGGGCGAAGAGAATCGCCAAAACGAAGTGAGGCCTAAGAATTCCCATTATATCATTTTAGAGAGACAAGCGGAGGAAATGGCTAGTAATACTGCACTTGGCAAAAACTTTATCAGGTTTGTAATTGAGATGAGGATGATTGCAATATTGATAAGCTCAAAAAAGTAAACAGCTTGGGAGCAATTATTATCACGCCATTCATTATCTACTTAATATATACAGTAAATGAGATGAGGGCCAACGAAAAGTATTTTTGTGTGTGATTTCATTTTCTTTTTTTTTTCCATCTAAAATAAGTAATAGTGTTGGATTATCACGTAACTCTCTGTAAACCAAAATATGCGCCATACAATCTTTCTCCATTACCTTAGAAAGAAGTAAAATTTTGCAAACTTTTAAGGGACTAGCCGGTATAGCATAGTTGGGTAACCCTTACCTGAGCTTTAATCAAACATCACTGCCCGGTATTGTACCAAGTCTCTGTTCAACCATAGCTCTTCTTAATATTAGCAGTACCTGACAGTCCCATTAACACTTCATAATGCTAAAATTACGCAATCATTCACTACGCAGATGCAGTACGTGCAACAGACCAACAAGTAGATTTCACGGTTAGCCGTTCATGTATATTACGTTACGTGACATGCGTGAACGGCTGACCGTAAAATACTGATCGGAGTAAATTTGAAGTTTAATTCAAGATTTAAGAAGGCTGATATGCTTGGTGTATGGGCCTGGTTGGAGGGGATTTTGACAGTGTTTCCAAATGTATGATGTATTTTCATTTTCCTTATGATTTTAAAAAAAAAAACTGCTCATTTGAGAATGACTGCTTGACAGCATTGTTTACGTTGATACTGAGACGTGACAGTCTCATGTCTACATTAGGCCATTAAGGCCTGTGCTACATTTATGTACATTGTTCTGATGGCCCTCAAACTGATACCACCTTTTTGATGATGGTATCAAATAGTATGTGATGTTATTCTCAGGGATATGATGTTAATGTGCATATTGTGAAATTAATGCTCATATTAGAGGATTATCTGAAAATACACCGGAACCACTGAAGATGATAGCTGATCCGGAAATCGATAGGATTGGCCGATTACTAAACGATAGCAAGTATGATTCCATTCATTTCCTACTTGTTTGCAATTTTAATATCGGATTACTGCCATATCGAAGATATGATTGCGATAATATAAATTCTCACTGTAACAGTGAATTTTCATGTTTTTAGCTTCCTCCAAAATATTGCAATCATAGATTGTGCAGGATTATTGCACAGATTACAGGTTAACTTTGAATAAAACTACAATTAAAAACATTATTATAATGTTGGAAGATGATATGTTAGTGGTATTTTAATATCACTTTTTGAAAATTCCTTCTTTTCCTTTCCTTTTTTTTGCTTGAAGGATATCAGATTTTGCCGGATGGCAAAGAAATCTGTATTTTGCCAAGGATTTTTTCCAGACAATCACTTTGTGCGCGATTTCGAGCCCTATTCATTTTGCGGAATCTCGGTTGTGACCGTTCAGTTGAATGGATTGGACGATGTTTTGATGATCCATCCGCCCTTCTGAAACATGAATTAGCTTACTGCCTTGGTCAGACACAGAATAAAACAGCGATATCTATTCTTGAATCTGTGCTCCAGGATGAAAGTCAAGGTATGAAAATCTGTTTATTTTAAATGTTATAAACAATTCGATCAAGAATCGTTAATGGTTGACGTGACAGCTTTAAGATTACTGACATGCATAAATTTCAGAGGTAATAGTACGTCATGAAGCAGGTGAAGCACTGGGAGCAATTGGTTCTTGCTCTTCTGCAGCTATCCTTGAGAAATATATGAATGATGAAGCTCAGGCTATTGCAGAAACATGCAGATTAGCCTTGCAAAGGATAGGATGGCTTCAAGAAAATAAATATGATCATAAAGAAGATGAGAAAGAAAGTCCGTACAATTCAATAGGTATGAAATCATTATTATAGCTTCATTATCTAATCTAATATTAAATCTAGTACTAAGTTAAAAGAATATAGAGATTTAAATTTCCTGTTGGAAATTTCGCTACTGTAGATCGAAGTTTTGGCAAATAAAACGAGTATTTTTAGAAATTTCATGTAATTACCGTCATTTACCTAAGTACTTAAGATCGTTTAAATTTCTTCACTTCTACATCAATTATTCTTGAAATATCCTACAGGCATTAAGTTTTTTTGTTTTCATATTCACTGAGTATGTTACATGCCTTGTCATGATGAAACACTAGTTTATAATTCCAGTTTGTAGATCCAGCTCCTGCCTCAAGTGAAACCAATATTGATAAGCTTTCTTCAATTTTAACAGATACAACAAAATCATTATGGGAACGATATCAAGCTCTCTTCAGTCTTCGAAATATCGGCACAAATGAATCTATAAAAGCACTTGCAAAAGGTCTCCTTTCACATCTGTGAAATCTTTCAATTATAAAATTTAGTTGTTTGGGTTTATGGCAAATGCAGCATTCATTACTTGCCTTGTTGATGAAGTTATGTGAGATTTTCCTATGTTTTTAGCTCTTAGTAAGTGTCATGTTATATTCACTAAATTTTTGTCTTTTTTGTATGAAGCTTATTTTAATACTTTATCATTGATATCATATATTTTCATCACTGCTTGTTTTTTTGAAAGCTAGTAGTCTTAGACATAACTTCTTCTACAATCGAAGTTAATATGTGTCTTATCTGATTTCAGGACTGACTTGCAATGATAGCGCACTACTCCGACATGAAGTTGCTTATGCCTTGGGTCAAGCACAATCACCGATAACAGTTACAGAATTAAAACATTCGCTGGAAAATGAAAAAGAAAATTGTATGGTTCGACATGAATGTGCGGAAGCTCTGGGAGCAATAGCAACAAAAGAATGCAAAGAGGTGCTAATGAAGTTTCGAAACGATCCGGAAGTAATATCAGATTTCATTCATTATGTCCAATATATATATAGCCAATTTATGGTATCCTGAAATAGGCTCGAAAATTTACTGGCTTAAATTACCTGGTATTTAGCATCTTGACAGTCCAGCTAATAACTGTCAATTCTTTTTTTACCCCATCAGAATAATACAGGAACTCTTTATGATTTTTATCCTTTCGAGATTTTTTCTTTATTTTTTCAGCTTCATCGAAATTAGGATTGTAATGGTTTATCCAAATAAAGCAGAAAAATAAAGATTTTGAACATAAAAATTTTATTTACAGCGTATTGTACGAGAAAGTTGCGAAGTGGCGCTTGATATGGCAGAATATGAAAGTAGTGGTCAGTTTCAGTATTCGTTAATCAATTTTTGAAGATGGATTTATTAAAATCTAAATAGGAGATAGTTTCTATGGTTGTCATGATACTTAACCACTTGTAATTTTGATGATTGATATGCCAGGATGTATGTTTGAAATGGATGCATTCAATCTCTTTTCGATTTATTAGTGGTTATTATGATAGTTCGGCACTTTGTAACGTTTATTTGATCGAAACTATTAGTCCTATTAATTAATTATCGCATGTTGTGGTGCATAATTTGGTAAACCTTAAGTTTTAAAAATTTGTATGCAGTATGTGTAATAAAGAAAGATATGCGATTTATTTATTTCTTAGCACATTAAGCTCATATAACTGAGTTTTCTTCTGTTCATGACAGCAATAAAATTGTTATTTATAAAACTGAAAGCATTTTTAGTTTTCAAAATTGTTTCTTCCAAAGTTATTTGGTGAAACTAATTAATCATACTTTTTTTTTCTCTTTCTTAATAATTAAGTCTTTTTGGACAATTTAAGGTTAATTTTTTAAATTAATTCTCTACTTTTCAGCTTTGATTTTCTCAATTTATACTGCAAGTTTTATTTAGGCAGGGACTAATATTTGCAGTTATCAAAATGTGGCAACTTTTCGGCTCATTATTTAAATTGTAAATGCTTGTCGTTCTGTGAATTCAATTGGGATGGTCGCTAGTTTGCTTCAGCATTTGATCCGAAGAGCTACTTTGGGACAGTGCTTCGTGATTTGTGAGTAGTAATTATTTATTATTAAAAATGGAATCAGTGGAAAATGATCCACTTCAGATTTCCTTCAGATATCATTTTGATTATGTTTCAGTGAAACCTATTCAGTTAGCATGTTTGCGCAGTAGATTTTATCGAATAACAAGTACAAATGATCCGGTTCGTTTTACTTGCAAAAAACAGTTTGGAATTTATTTATGAAAATGATTATAAATTTCTTTTTATTCACTAACATCGGATAAATCAGAACAGTGATTCTCGATACAAACAAAGTGGCTCTTAAATTATTTATTGCTTCTATGTCTTGAGCAATTTACTAAAAATTTTTTTCGTTTCTCAGAATTGAATAACGATTAATATATGAACCAAAACTTTTTTGGGTAAAATACACAATTTAGACGGCTTTAAGTGCTGAAGACTTAGGTCGCCTGTATCAGGTGAGCAATGAAGACATTGATACATTGTATTACCGGTATATGTTACCTCCAAAATTCCGGAAACAAGTGGAAACATTGAATGAATGTGTTTGGTTATATAGGCGACCAACATTTGAAGCAACCACATGTTTAAAGGTTTACTTTTTAGTTTCATATATTACCGATGCCATTCTTTTAACATATGGAAATGCTTATGCAAAAGAAATTAATACGTATACTGTTTTTAAAAATCGGATAAATAACACCTAACATTTTCTATTTCTCAAAAAACAAGAACTTCGGAATAAATTTTCAATTTGCATATTTATTACTTGTGAAGAATTCTCTTGGAATTCTGGTCAAAATCTATGAAATCGTTCTGCTTCAACGAGTTTTGATTAATTAAAGTCTCGTGAGACATTGAAATTATATCCGCAGAAAATAGCATAAAGTTGAGATGTTACTGCCAAAATCTAATATAACCCATTCTTGGATGGTACTTCATATCTTTGATGGTATAAAAAGAAGCAAAATTGTAAATTTGTTACTTTTTAGTTGGTAGATATGAACATTCCAAATTTACGTATAGTACTATGGGGTCGATGGGGCACTGGTAAATCGATGACTGTTTTCCAAACAATTTATCATATGTGGAAGCAAGGATGGATAATATTTACGATACCAAATGGTGAGTGCCAGCAATGATAATTTCTCTTAATTTTTTTTATTTTCAGTCTCGTATAATTTTTTTTTTACGGCCTAAATCTCGGAAGCTTAATTTTAATTCAAAACAAACATTTGTCATAGCGAATAAATTATTTTTATATTACTTGGTATATTTGAATAGTAAGTTGCTCCTCTAGTGTAATTTGCCCCAAACATTTGAGCTGTACATTCGGGATTATTCCTATTCCATCATCACATTATGGAAGTCAAATTTGATAAAAAGGACGTCTATATTTTTCTAATATAATTAGCTTGTAAGTCTATTATATTAAAAAGTAATAGTTCTTTATTGAGCGCCTAATAAATCTATATCAACAGAATGTGACTTTTTTTTCATCCACTGCAATACAGAACTTATCTAGAAATTGAAACTAATCCCTTCTTTTTTCCATTTTTACTTTTCAAATAGTGAGAAGAACATTACATATATGACTTGAAAAATAGTGAGAAAACGAGCGATTTCACATTTTTTTCTATTTTAAATAATTTCAAAGAAAATCTCCTGAAAAAATAGGAAAAAAGGTTACATGATCGTATAATTTGCAGTGATAACGATTATGAGGGATCATGATGAAGCGAAACCATCAACTTATCGTGAAGGCCGCATTGATTTTCCTGTACTTGGGCATCAAATCTTGAGAAGATTCAAACTAATGAATACACCCAATTGGGAAAAACTCAATGTTTTTTTTTTTATCGTCATTTAGCTCAAATTTTACAAAGTCTGAGAAATGGAATTAAAACAATTATATTTAAATTATATACCTTTTCTAGAAAAAGTGCTAACAAATTTTAATGGAATTTCAGGAATGCAAAACCCAAAAGCACTACAAATGGTCCAAAGTCGAGGAAACAAAAGAAGGAGAACCAGTCACAAATATAGTTGACATTGTAGGACTCAATTTAAATAAAATTCTTTTGTGATGACTATAGTTCTAATTACAATGCTGTTTTACAGTTCGCTTTTTTCTATATTCATATAAGGAAATGAGAGTCAGTAAATGGAAACATATGTTATTTCAGGGTCTTTCTGCTCCCTCTTTGTCATCAGATTGTGTTGGTGGCTTGCTTCGAGAGTTAACCCATCACTGTAGTGCTGGCAGATTTCCATTGCTTGTGACGATCGACCATGCTAATTCTCTTTATGGTAAAACAACAATGAAGGATAGAAATCATAAACTTGTAGATCCGAAGTACTTCACCTTAATTCATCATCTCCGGAAATTACTACGAAATGACTGGGTAGGTTTATTCACTTAACAAAGAAGACTTGTGTGAGATGCCTTTCCTGAACCTGCACTTTTGATCTGAGACTGTTTATTTTTAAGACGAATGGTGCATGTTTGTTGGTTGCCGATAAAAGAGAAATCAGTGACGCACGTGACCATCTTACAGTACCGCTGGAAACACCACTGGAACTTTTCGGAGAAGTTAGTTTGCAATAACATAGAAAAAATTGTTTTCCTTTATTTTTAGTCAAAGAAGAAATTTTACATTCTGATCATTATAGGATATCGAAAAAATAGAGCCTTTCATACCCATTGAAACTTCATTGTATTCGGTTGAAGAAATGGATATTCTCTACGATTATTATCTTGAAAAGAAATGGATCGCCTCCGAGTCAGGTAAAATTTAAATCTAGAGGCAAGTTTCTAGAAACCACGAACAGAGATAATAGAAACATCTCAATTCGTACAACTCTCTATTCCTCCTGAAGAATAATTAATTTTTATCATGAATCTAATGAAGCTACTGACTCAAAATTTGTTTCATATTGAATTTCGCCCACTTAGACCTCACCATATAGCTTCAGGACGCACAGAACGAGCAAAAAAAGAATTGAAGTTCCTGAGTGGAAGGAACCCGTACTATTATGAACGAATCTGTGCTTTTGTTTGATGTTAGAATAAATTTTGCTTGTTCGGTCCTCTTCTACTAACAAATAATCAACTTACGTCGTATCTCGAATATCAAAAATTTCTTAAATCTTGAAAGATCCAAAACTTTGAACAAAATTTGTACATAAGAACTAATTTTTATTTCATATTATAATGATGGTTCCTTCTGGCTCTTTATAGAATCCAAAATTCCAATCGTATCCATGATATGATAGTTAAGTGTCGAAATAAGTTCGTTAGGTGGTGCAGATAAGAGCTGTACTGTTTGAACACGATGATCCTCTAGTGATGGCAATTTACACAATTCTTTCACTTCCGACATCGATAATATTCGAGATCCATAAACAACAGCTGCAAGTAATTGCATTCATGTAAATATTTGAATCTTAAAATATATTCAAAGTGAAACTGATGCAAAAAGACTGAGAATGTTCACTGCGAAGAAGCAAGCATGCTAAAACAGCCTATAGAAAAAGGCTCTTAGAAAAAATCCATGATATTAATTGTCAACTATTTTTTGATTCATTTGTTAGTAAGCTGCCAATGTTTTTACAACATTCAAAGAAATTTGAATTAAAGAATTACTTAGTGGTGTCAGCCAATCAATCTTTTCGCACTCGGTTATGACTGCTTTGATCGCACTGATATCTTTGCCAAAAAGTTGACCGTTTGTGGCTACAAATATTGTATCACTGAGTGATTGCAGCGGAGTACCTTCGACTACTTTCTTCATAATTCGATTACCATAATCCCGAAATTCAAGGCCTTTTAACCGTAGCCTGAAACGTGAGTAATTCACTCAAAAAGGATATCATAAACACCAACAAACGAAAATACCAGAGAATGTGCCTTTTTTTCCACAAATCCACGAGCTCAAAATCTGTAAATCGAAACAAAAGTTCGGAAACTTACTGATTCCGAGTTAACCATTTTGTTCGGTTTTTTACAGCGAGCCTATGACAAATACCCATAACTTGATAGCCTTCATCTTTGATTTTTCCTCGAATATGATGCACTAATGCCATGTCATATGGTGAGTACTAAAAAATTATACAACATCAAATCATAACTATAAAATTGAAATATTTTAAATAAGAATTCAAAACTTGGACATTAGATTTTTGTACCAGTTAAAATAAAAGTAATAATTAATTGAGTAAATTGAAAAGAAACGTACAGAAGATTTCAGTTCTTCAATACGATCGATAACTGCTTTGTATGAAGGGCATATACTTTGAACCTTAGGTACCATAGGTTCCAATGCAGCATCAAATAACCGTCTCCGATACGACCGCGGTCGTCTAAGTAGCGAGACTGACGAAGCCTTTCCTCTTGCGCATAAATGGAAACCGAATACCGATGGTAGCAACCTGGTTAATTCCAATGGTAACCGCATCTATAATCATAATTATAATCATTCAACCTATTATTTACCAAATGCTTCCAACCACTAGAATCGCGCTTATTGAATTAGGTATTTTCCTTGCGTGATCTGCATCCTTGATTTCTGTTATAGAAAATGTGTTGTGCTTTTATCACAATTCTTTGAAAAAAGCAGCAAACTTTTTTTATAGAAAAAGTTCATACTCAATTTATAGAAGAGCATATGATGTCATTTCATAAAGTACAAAGAAGAGCCGAATATCGGGTAATTAGACATGTTCATGTTTAAAAAAAGGAACAAAAACAGAGAGCCATCAAGGATATTAAATTTTGAAAAAGAATACAATTCAACTTTCAATTCCAAATTTTAAACATGCACACATAGAGTTCGTATATTTCAGTAATATGTTATATACAAATATCTAAACATATACGTACAAAATATTTTTATACAGATGTTAAAAGAAAAAATTTCACAAAAATTAGAAAAATTCCTTTAGTTTAGTCGAAAATTATCCTTCTTCTGTGGCGTGCAAAAAATACAATTGAAATCTTGAAACAGAAATCTCACAAGATCTAATTACTTCGAAATTTCTATTTAATTAATGTTTGCTTTTCAATAAATTTAATGAAATGATCATTCAGGCAACGCCCGTTTTCATCGTATAACACTATGCTTCGATCGGTTTCACCTTTACCGAACAGAGCCGTTAAGTGTAGTGCTTTCTCGCATATGCTACGCAGAAAAATACGTGCCCCAATACCCAACCATCGTGCATCCATTGGACCAGAAAGACGAAGTGGTCCCAAACATGTTGGAGGCCATTCCTCGATTGATAGCTGCAAGAATTCTCAATGAGAAAAGACAGATAAGTAATCAAAAAATTCTTAAAACTTCAATTAATGATCAGCTAGAGGCATAATAAAATATTCGCAGTAGCGCTGTCTGTACTGCATGAGAAAAAAAATAGGAGATAATGTATTAAATCATCTCTTGATCGTTTTGTTGACAAAACAATTTCATAATATGGTCCACTTTAACGTAGAGTTGTTGTTATATTCTCCAAGAAAAACTAAGAAAATCATAGGCCAATGTAAATATTCAGAATTCATTCCGATATCAATAAAAGAGCTAACCCGTTTAGGCACACGATAAAACCGAGAATTATATTTGACAAATTTTTCTTCGCCAGTATCCACACATAATACCTTCCAGTCGTCATCTTCACGAGCCAAAATTTTCACTCGATTCCAACAAATATCAAACCAAAACAGATAATGTTCATTTTGAGAACACCATGATCCTGATACTGGTAGCAGGTCAGTCTAAATATTAATGCCTCCTTTAATCTGCTACAATGGAATATTGTAAATTAAAAAAAATGTATTATTTCTCAAATTAAAACAGTATCAGGACGATAAAACTACACAGAAATATATTAGAAAAGTTTAAAAAAAAAGCATTACTAAGTGGATATAAAGTGCTTTGTTATTGAATAAAAGTCTTTTGCTACAAGATAATAACTAACACTATCTATATATGAAAGCTTCTTTCTGAGCGCTTCATATTGCATTCTGGTTTCTGCAGTACTTAAAAAGATTTCCGTCGCACAGTTTATGCTCAGAATTTCCACCTGTACTGATTTCTGTGATAGAAAAAAGATTAAATTGCAAAGTTCCAATCCCCGAAAAAAAAGTTTCATTAATTTATTTAATTGAAGAAAAAAAGAGAACACATGCCTCACGTGGATCAGAATTTTCAGAATACGAGTCAGAATTGTATAATGGAGGAGATGGCTGAACCATAACGACTGATGGTTCCTGCAAAACCAAAAAAAATCAAATTTTGTTTAAAATAAGCTGCGCAATTCTTAAGAACAAGGTATTTTTCTCCAGAGTTTTTGAATTTAAATGGGAATGAAACTGAAGATTATTGGGTTTGAAATGGGATATGAGCAAGAATTTAAGACAGTTAATAGTTGAAATAGGAGAAAAATTAAATGAAACGCTTGACAAGTATATAAATCTTATCAGTCAGCAAAAAAACTATCAACGATCGGCATCTTTATCTTCTCAGTGTCAATCAATACAAGGACACAACTGTTGCAAAACATGAATTTTATGAATATTTCGACAAATAAATGACTCACTTTTGATTGCTGTTTTTGTCTGACTGACTTACCGAAAGTTTCACTGTCGCTATCTGATTCGCAAGAAGTGAGCGATTTATTTAAATAATCATTTTCAAAATTCTGAAAGCATCATGATAATAAAGATTGAAATAAACGCAAATGCATAAATTCTGAACATCCATAAAATATAAATATAAAATGCAAAATTTTTTCGAAACCTGTAAATATCTCTCTTAACTGAATCCTTGAATTGTACTAGAAACAATAGTTACCGTAGAAGAAGACGATGAAACTGATGGTTTTCGTTGCTTTTTATACAGCGCAAATGATATCCGGGAGAGATTTTCTTTGACAGGTGTTTCAGGAAGTTTGACCGTTGACCGTGGATATAATTTGGGTGTTTTGAAGTGTGACTGTGATGATGACGATGATGATGATGATAACGATGAAACCGGCATTATAGGTGAAGATGGAATCGACGTTAAACGATTTGTAGCTAAGCTGTTGAAAACATCTGTAGACCGCCGTTTCAATGGTTGCAAAGAACTAACACCACAGCGCGAAGGTAATATTTTCCGCTGTGGACCTGCAAATCCAACTTCTGAAAAATTTTATCCACTCGAAAAAATTAATTTATTACTCGAATTAAGATTTTCAGAATGTCCCTTATCCAACTATCAAATTCACCAAGTTTAGTCTTCCATGTGCTTTCTAACGCTACCCAAAATATATGCCAAACATAATTACTCTACTCCTTCTTTTGAGCTAGCTTCTATGTATGCGTTTGTCAAATTTTTAAAAATACATATTTAAAATCGCATACACTGACCTAATGATAGCGAATGACTGAAGGGTTCAAAATGACGCTCCTGTGGAACAAGTACTGTACGTGGGAAACTCATACTGGATGAAAAAGATGCCATATCAGTATTCCTGCCCGAAGTAAAGTAGAGCCGATCTAGTCTCTTAAAGAAAAATTTGATTTCGCAGCTAAACAACGCTAAAAAACTTCTAAAAGCTGGAAAAAAATCAAAATGAAAGACTTGCCGTATCGATACTTTCTAAAATATCCGAATAATTTTGCCCGAGACCTGATTGACGGACGGAATCCACCTAGAATAGATATTGTAGCTAATGAATCAAGATCTCATAAATGACAAAGCATTCCCGTTAACCAGATCAGTTGCTTGGGAAAAAACAAACATGGTCATTATGACGATTGCTTGGAACTAGAACTTTAGAATTCAAAACTAAGCCTGTGAGCTGTTAAAATTTGTAAAGCTGACAACAGAGAAGATTAATTAACCAGATAAGACAGTACTCAAACATCGAATGCATATTCCAAGCCAGATATTTTTAGCAAACAAAATTGAGCTGTGAGATAAATAAAACCAAAAAGATTTTTTAATTATAAATATACCTCTACGGCATGTTCAATGTATTCTTCAAGCTTTAGCCCATTTGTAAGTTCAATGACTGAGAGGGTTGATGAAGCCGGAGAGTAGACACGTACATGGGTCCCAATTTGGAGCACTTCTTTTGCCACTGTCGATTTGGTAAATGTTTCCAACTTATCAGTGGTATCGATTGCTCGAATAGAATAACACTGAAATTGTTTCTCATATTGGAAAAAAACTGAATAAATTCTCCTATCTAATAATAATAAATTGCAATAATAAAAGCTTGAAAATGGAGTAAGAAAATCATTTCACTAGAAATGATAATGGTGATAAGATAATGACTCCGGTGGCTTGTTATGATGTATCAGATATACATATCCAAATAACTCGCAGACATATAGCAATAAGGACATTACCAAATATTATCATCATTCAAATTTCTTACAATTATTATCATCAATATCAATATTATTCGTATCA